CTCTACAAATATATTTTTTATTTTTGGCTAGAATAAAAGAAAAATAAAAGAGCACACTTACTTAAAAATACAGATGTTTTTTTTTTTTTTTTTTTAATAGATTTAGCCCACGGCACACGGCCTCTTTTGTTTTTTAAAAACTTATCCTTCAGGTTTTTCCAAACCTTTTAACAAAAATGTTCTTCTTTCCCACGGCTGTTGCTATTTCTAGCCAAGAATTATTGATCATTAGGTTATCTCTATGATCAGGGATCATAAAGATGTCTGTACAGGCGTACTGTTTCAGACAAAATCTCTTCAAAGTGTTTCCTATTCGACTCAAATTAAACGCCGCGCTGCATACACTGTTCGAACAAATCTCAAAAAATGCTGTGTGCACCACCAGCCGAAATCATGTCGTGCGCACCCAAAGCGAACATCCCCAAACTCCGCAATAACGTTACATTCGCCGCGCACACTCAAGTGAACAGGTCAAGTATAAACCAGGCTTGAGGCTGAATCAGGAATGGCTGTGGATCAGGAATTGCTGCAGCACACACAGTGTTGCCTTGAGCTGCTTCTGCTGACCAGTTTTTGTTTGTTTAAAGTGGGGACAAAACTACTCTAATCAAGTTACGTCTTGACCAGAAGGAAATTCAAACGAGTCAGTTATGGCATATAATACAACACCAAGTTTAAACTCACTCATGTATCTTATACTCACCAGCCACTTTATTAGGTACACCTGTCCAATTGCTCTTTAATGCAAATTTCTAATCAGCCAATCACATGCAGCAACACCATGCATTTAAGCATGTTGACATGGTCAAGATGATCTGATGCAGTTAAAACCGAGCATCAGGATGGGAAAGAACAGTAGCATGGTTGCTGGTGCCAGACGGGCTGGTCTGAGTATTTCAGAAACTACTGATCTACTGGGATTTTCACAACCATGAACCAGAAGCTGATAGAAAGGCAACAGTAACTGAAATAACCAGGTATGCAGAGGAGCATCTCTGAACGCACAAAAAGTTCAACCTTGAAGTGGATGGGCTACAACAACAGAAGACTACACCTGGTGCCACTGCTGTCAGCTAAGAACAGGAAAAAGAGGCTAAAATCTGCACAGGCTTCCCAAAATTGGAAAATAGAAGATTGGAAAAATTTGCTGCAACATTCGGATGGTAGGGTCAGAATTTGGCATCAACAACATAAAAGCATGGATCCATCCTGCTGGTTCAGGCTGGTGATGTAATTGTAAAGGAGATATTTTCTTGACACTTTGGACCCATAAGTACCAACTGAGTATCGTGTCAATGCCACAGCCTACCCGAGTATTGTTGCTGATCATGTCCATCCTTTTATGACCACAGGGTACCCATCCTCTGATGCTACTTCCAGCAGGATGATGCACCATGTCATAAAGCATGAATCATCTCAGACTGATTTCTTGAACATGACAATGAGTTCACTCAATCCAGAACTCAATCCAATAGAGCACTTTTGGGATGTGGTGTAATGGGAGATTCGCATTATGGATATGCAGCCGACAAATCTGCAGCAACTGCGTTATGCTATCATGTCAATATGGACCAAAATCTCTATTGAATATTTCCAGTACCTTGTTGAATATATCCCATGAAAGATTAAGGCAGTTCTGAAGGCAAAGGGGGGTCCAACCCGGTACCGGTAAGGTGTACCTAATAAAGTGTGCAATAAGTGTATAACTCACTTAATTTTAGTATATTATTTAAGAAAATAAGACAATGTTTTGCTTGTCCTAAAAATGTAAATAATTATAGATATTCGGAGTAGAAAAACAAAAAAAGACAACTAAGAAAAACTTTTTTTTTAAAAACAAGTAGTGTATACCTAGTATTACATTTCAATCGTGCATGGTTTAAACTTAAGAGCTACTTTGAAAGCACATGGCATTAAATGGACAGCCTGGCCACCATTTACCTGATTTTACTTCTGGCCGGCAGCACATTTAGTTTTAGTCTGGACCTTGCCTCCAACAATAACAGAACTTATTTGTTATATTTTGTGACATGCTTGCTTTCTGTTCTAATGATTAATAGAAGAGTTTTCACATTTATGATTTCCACTGTCTTACGACTGCCAATCAAATTAAATCAAAAGACAACTGTGACTGATGTCTTTGCACAGCATCTGTCAGTGTAACTTGCAGAACTGATTTACCCTGAGACCTGTGATGCTCATCGCCGAATTTGTAAATGAGCTAATCACCGTTCTGCTCAAATTAACACTGTAACAGACATCTAATGGGCATTCACAGATGAAGGTAGATAGGATTGGATTTCAGAGTGAACAACTAGAAAAGTATCCATGGCAAATCCTGAAATACAGTATTTCTGTCAATGGAAGGATACAGGCATACAAGAATCAATGAAAGTTGTTCTGAATAAGAACGGTTTCTCGGCTCCCAACCCTAATCTAGACTGCTGCAGAGAGTGATAGGAGAAAGGCAGGGCGAGACAGGGGTATCTGCTGCAGTAGAAGTGCTCATTCGGTTCTCAAAGGAATGATATGGGTGTCCCTCCCCGGTCTCAGCCCCAGGCATCAGCCTATTTCTATGCAAATAACAACTTCACGCTTCTCTTTCTATTATTCCTGCAGGAGCTCCAGCATCATGACGGGAGACGGAGAGAAAGACATGGGGGGAGGGGGGTGAATTATACACCTAAGGAAATACACACACACACATATATGTTTTTCTATTTTGGCGGATGACTTTGTCTTTATATTGAGAAATCAGTTTTTATACAGTCTTTCAGTTTATAGAAAATTAGTTTCTGATTGAATTGAAATTTTACACAAATATTACTTGAATTTTTGTTTTGTTTCTTGTCCAAATATCAAAAATTGCTTAAATCAAGAAGCATTTTTTAAACGAGCAAAAAATATGGTCTTGTTTTAAGAAATATAAAAAAAATTAAGTGAGATATCAGTTTTTATACGGTCTCTCAGTTTATAGAAAATTATTTTGATTTAATTTTGCACTAAACGTGCTTTTTTTCACTTAATTTTTTGTTTTTCTTCTTGTTCAAACATCTTAAAACTCTGCCAATGGGGTAAGAAAAATGATCTTATGCCAAATCGAAAAAAAATTATATTATTTTGTTCACCCTATTGGCAGATTATTTTGCTTGTTTTAAGTAAAAACCCATTTAATTTTGGCGTAATATTTCTAAAAACAGAACAGAATTTTTAGTTCGTCTAGGAAATACTTCTTTATTTGAAAATTGATAGATTGACTAGAAACAGCCAAAAAAATCTAAGTAAGATTTATTGGTGGTGCATTTTAGTGGTGTAACATACCACAAATTTCACGGTTCGCATCACACTGCGGTTTTTGAGTCACAGATCGGACCATTTTTTGAATCACCAAAAAAAAAAGGGGGGGGGGGATACATGTTTTTTGCTTTCTATTTACACAAAATTATACTAAAAAAACAATTGGTTTTAACAAACAGAACTTAGAACCTGTAATTTAAAAAAAAAATCTAAATCAAGAAAGAATGAAAAATGATCTTTGCTTCTGTTGCTGATAATGATATCTAACATCTTGTATAACTTATCATATTTATTTCCAATTAATGATTCAACAATTGACACATACTGTAAAACTTCAAGTTTCATGATAGGTGGATCATTTTAAAAATCTTATTCAGTGACATAATTTTGATGGTTGTTTGTCACCACCTGTTGGTTATGCAATGTAATTGCTACAACATTCACCAGCTCCATTAAAGTTCCATTTATCTGTGATTTTTATCTTTGCCATAAACCTCAGTGTTTATATCTGAACAATAAACTGTTTTCCCAGTACTTCTGTGCTATTTCATTGTTTGTAACAAACTGAAAAAGGTGTAAAAACAGAATCTCACTCGATCAAGCGCAGATTTGAATGCAGCGCTTCAAAGATGCATTAAACATATGCAAATCATTATCATTTATCATTCATGTTGCACGAGTTTAAATTGCGATTGCGATCTTTTAATACTTAATTGTGCAGCTAACACTGAACACATTAATGCAGCCTAAACAAACAGTGACAGAAAACATCTTTAATTAAAAACCCAAGAAAGCATTTAGGTCCCACCAAAACTTTTTCTGGCATAATTATATTTTACAGGGAAGCCAAAATGCTTTCATACACGTGATTTGAATGATGAGGGAGGTGATCTCTTTGCATTTGTTGTAAATGTTGGACTAACCCAAGTTAAAAAAAAAAATTAATCTGCGGGTCACGTGCATTAAAAACTGTGGGTTGTATCCGTACGGATCACGGATCAAACCGTGATTTGATACACCCCTAGCGCATACGGTATTTTTGTTTCCTTTGTTTGATCTTGAAACCATTAGATAATAATTCCATAGAAATAAAACACATTTTTTGTAAAGTTACGCAGGTTTTTATATGATATCAAGGATAAAAATAGTACAATTAGTCAAATTATATATAAATAGTCAAATTATATATGACGAGTACAGATGCTAAAAACTATAAGTGCCTAAGTGTGTGTGTGTGTGTGTGTGTACTGTTCCTTTAACGCATGCTTGAATGCACAGCCGACCAAATCCAATCCCTGTCACCAGCAAAATAAGAAACTGGCTGATTCATAAAAGTCATATTGTAATGAAGTCGTGGTAATTGCATGAATTAAGGATTCATTTATTTGGGTCATAGTTGAGCGCACACAAGGCTTTTGAAGTTCACGGTAGCCTGTCACAATTCCTGCCTCGGCCCAATCAAATTACTCAACACAATTAAAAGAGAGGCCAATTAAAGGGCCCTTATCAGCAGAGTGAATAGATAATTTATGCGCCAATGCCATCTTTCATAGCAGCAACTAAACAACGGAGACCTTTGAAAAAAAAAAAAATCAAAGCAGACTGTGGGCAAATGACAAAAACTGCTTTAAAAAGGAAGACAGTTGACAAGCGAGAAATTCTACCTCATAACAAGAATAGGATGTTAACGTGCAGCTGCTGACCTTATTGAGAGCTCCGGCTCCAGTCAGGATGATATGAGAGTTTTCCACCTGTATGGTTCTTTGGCCCAGTCTCACCAAGTACGCTCCGATTCCAATGGCCCTGCATGTCACCTGAAGACCACCAAAGGCAGACACAGAAGTTTAGAATCCCTACACTCATTCAATACGATACTATCATAAATTTTTTTATTTGATATACCTCTTAGGCAGCATTTATTTGATAAAAAAACAGTATTATTGTAGATAGGTTGTTTTTAATCACGTGATTCTAGTGGTGCGTGAAATTCAGATGGAGGGCAGAAAGTAAAAAACTAAATGGGAGACATAGGGGAAAGTACGTATTTTTGCGATTTCTATCATATTTCAAAGGAGATCTAGTTTCTACTGAAATAAAATATATTTGCTTGTCATCGAGGCAGTATATACTGTATAAGCTATTACATAAAAAAAAAATACAATAGTAAATACTGTAGTGTATGGAAGTACACTATAGAGAATTACTTGAATTAAACTATCGTAGTAATTATATTGTTGCTGTGGTATGACACAACTGTAGTAATAAATCAATTATTTAATAGGCTTCAGTTACACCACCACGATGCACCACAGTTTACACTAACGCTACAGTTTTTAATACAGTTAATCAGTTTACTATGCTACAGTATTCTGTAGAATTCGTTAACAAAGAGTTGCATACAATACACACTTTACTATATTTTATTATAAATTACTATTTTTTTGTCCCCTATATACGCGGACATCTTCCAGACATCACAAAATAACAGATGAAATCATACAAAAGTGGGCACATAGTCTACAATATTATTTATTTATTTTTGCAAGGGTGGAAGTGCTCCACAATAATAACTGCCTAGTTGTCGCAAGGGTTGCATTTTTTTTTTTTTGGTCGATGAACTTACAATCAACAAACAAACCTGCTGCTGTTTATTCTGACAAAACGCCAGTAAAGATGGAGATTTCATTGCAGCGATTACGTAGCAGAGTACATTATTTATATAATCCTGGATTTTGTAAAAGTATGGCGGTGTTTGTATTTAATTTATTTTTGTATTTGTATTTTTATATAGCACATTTACATATTTATAGACTTAGCTAGGCCTGTATATAACCTTTATTGGTGCTGTCAATCAAATTATCGCGTTCAAAACATGCTTATATGAAAAAAAAGTTATTACATGTCGCCTTTTCCTCCACTTTTCAAACGGTATCTTGAACTTTCCCCCCTTTATGAGCAAAAACTTTTGGAAGTCTATAATATTTCTTATTTTGGCAGATTTCAACAATTATAAACAACATAAACCAGAAACTTTGGATGTTCTGATTGCGATTCCTACGTAGAAGAAACGCTTTCTGCCCTTCATCTGAATTTCTCGTTTCATCAATGACATCATGTGAAAACAACCTATAGGCCAGTCACAATATTCAATATATCGACACAAAACATGGATGTGACCTTAATTATTTTTAGTGATGCAATATATTTCAGCCATACATAAAAAAAATATATTCTCTATATCTCTAAATTGTTTTAATCTCTATATCTCTTTTGGAGGTGTCAGTATGATTCAAACCACACTATAGTATTTACTATAAATTACTTTACTATACTTTCATGTGGGTGTCTGACAACTTAAATTAGATCAGCTAGAAGATATTGCAGCCTCTAGCTTTTTACCTTGCACTTTTTTTTTTTGTTAACATTTATTATTATTATTTACTGAGGATATGCGTTTTCACATTCTGATTCCAGTGCTTAATTATTAAATTGTTAAAATTACCATAATTAAATTTCATATTTCAAAGAATAAAAAAATGATGATATGCTTATATATGGTGCTTTGGAAGGGCGTACTTGCATTGTGATGATATGATATTGCCATTCTGGGATTATATAATTAAATGCCTAAAATGGTCTTAAAATTACAATAATATTGTTCTTCACAATATATTTTGGTGAAATATATTTACAACAAAAAATAGATATCATGAGAGTCCTAGTCGTAAAATGTTGTTCCAAAACATTTTAATACATTTTAAAATGTAAATTAATTTCCCCCAAGCAACATTTTCAGCAGTAATTCCTTCGTTCTTTAGCGTCACAAGACTCTTTAGCAATAATTTAAATATGCTAATCAGGTGGTCAAGATTCTATTAAGAATGTGGAAAAGTGATATATATTTTTTAAGGAAACAATGAAAATTTTTTATGGTTCTTAATTAGAAATGTGATGCATTTATCTGAAATAGAAATATTTTGTGACACTATAAATGTACATAGGTGTACTGTCACATTTCATCAGTTCAATGCTTAAAACATCTTTCAAATGACTCTTATTCTTCACACCAGACAATTCTAACAAAAGTAAAACTGGACAACTAAAAATGTATTAGCTCATAAGCTAGAGTGTACTTTTTTCAAGATGCAACATGACTGTGTGTGTTAGCATACCAGATTCATGGTGATAATATCCTCATACGCCAGTGACGATTCACCTGCGATCATGCCAGAACCTCTCAAGTTCTCCACACCCAACCCTTCCTCTTTCCCAATGATATCAGTGATTTTATACCTGCAGACACAAACATTCCATTAGGGCTGAATTTATATAACATTACAAAAAAAAAATTACCTTAAATGACTAAAAATCATTCATGCTGACTTTATAAAAAGAAAAAAATTCAGAGCCCAAAACTTCAAGTCTAACAATTTTTTTTAATAATTATTTTTTGGGTTTTCACCTTTGACAGACAGGATAGTATTGACAGGAAAGCAGAGGAAGCAGAGAGATGGGAAGGATCGGCACTGGACCACGTGATGGGAATCAAACTCGGGTCGCTGCAAGCACCGGAGTGCACGTGTCGACGCAATAACCACTACATCACTAGCGCCAACGTCCAACTATTTGTTAAAGCTTAACTGCATCAAACCACTTCTGCTTAGGTCTAAGATGAGATAACTAAAATTAATTAAAACTCACTATTCTATAGGTGTTTTAGAATATCACAAAACAAATGCTTATTGCATACAACAAACATATGTGTACAACTGAAGTTTTATCAGATAAGAAAAAAAGTCTGATGCAATTTGAGGACATGTGAAGACATTGCCTCTCTGACCAGCACTAACCCACCCCCTCGGATTGCTATCATTTTAAAGTGGATTTTATAAAAAAAAAAAAAAAAACATGTTATTTAGAAAAAAAATCTCAAATCTATTGCCTTCCTAGAATCTAAAATAGCAAAACTATGCCTGTTAGGCAAGGTCAAATTTTGATTGGTCTTCACTGCAAATGAGATTTCACTCACCGAAACGAAAATTACAGTTCTAAGACACTAAGGTAAAGGTAATTTAAACAAATGTTTTTGTAACATCTTCACTCACTGGTCACGTCAGGTTGTTATTCTGTGTACCTAGCATTTTAAATATTTTTACTGCTAATATGGGAAGCAGGAACATTACCACAACACCGCCACCAAAAGCAGTTTATGACTGCTTAATCTTACTAGTTTATTTAATAGAATCAAAATAAAATATAGCTTAAAGGGGCTAATAATTTTGACTTCAAAATGTTTTTTTTTTTAATTAAAAACTGCTTTTATTCTTGCCGAAATAAAACAAATAAGACTTTCTACAGAAGATAAAATATTATCAGACATACTGTGAAAAATGTTTTGCTCTGTTAAACATCATTTAAGAAATAATTGAAAAAGAAAAAAAAAATCAAGGGGTGGCTAATAATTTAAATAATATACATGCATAAACTTTTTTATGATTTGTCTTAGTCATAGGGAGTAAACTGGTAAAAACCCTTTAACTGACCCACCAACAAAAAAAACAAAAAGTTAAGACACTCTGCATTTTTTATTTTCAACACATCATTTCTAAAATATCAACCATTTGGTAGAGGTTGATATTCCGGTTTGTGGTAAATATTCCAGAATTAATACATACACTATTAAAATCCCAAAAAAGAAGTGTGAGACCAATATATTTAAAAATATATATTTAAAATAAAACATTTTTTAATACTAAACCATCTTTATTTTTTGAAGTATTAACATGTTTTCTTGATAATTTTTTTTACAATATACAATATGTACAGGATTATGTTTGTTTAATTTTTTTCTAAACCAACAATCCTGTGTGTGTACACCATTATTTAAAATATTCATTCTTAAAAATGACTTTAACAGTCAAAATAAATAGTCAAATACATTTGAATTTTTTTTATTGTAAAAGGTTGCTTAAAAAAAAAACTAGAATAACTCACCTGGATTCCCCCTCATCCTCCACATGTTCACAGTGGACTGAGTTCAGAGCAGACACCTTCTTATAGTCCTGTGGTGTGAGGTATAGGTACTTAAAACCCTACAAAATCAACAGGAAATGACACTGATTATGACACCTATCCAGAAGATAACCACTACATTAATGATCACCTTCCCCTGGAGCCACTCCAAACCTTGTATGGGTCCACCGGATCCTGCCAGGCCACATGAAACATGTGTCTGATCTCCTCTGCCAGGCCTATACGAGCTCCGCTGTTGGCAGCAATATAGATCCGTGGAATGCCACTTTCTCTTGCCATTTCTGAAGCTTGCTGGAACAGAACATCTTCTTGTGGCCCAAACGAGCCAATCTTATGTGTGATGTCATTGCTGATCACTATAATCTCACGGCCGGCTGGATACTCAGGGGTCCGGAGGGTCATTCGCCATGCTACCATGCCAATCTAGAAAATCATAAAAATCTTTTTTTTTTTTTTTGTACTAACAATAAAGTTGAGACAGAATAAAGCCACACAAACCAACATTAAATAAGCAAAGGGGCCCCCTTGAGTCTGCAAGGTGTACTGCACATGATTGTTTTTTGAAAATGAGCAAGAAAATTGCATAGATGATCTTTTTATTTTGAGGAAAAAAAGTGTTAAAAAAAAGTTAAGCACTATAATTAAGGTGGTATAGTCTGACCTCATTCCCTCCAGGTAGGCGGTTCATCTGCACCAGCTGACCCTGAGAATCCAGAACCAGCTCTGTGAAGGTGAGCAGTTCTGATGGAAGAGGGCACTTGGGCAAGTTGGCGTGTGCATCCATGGATTGCCACAGCTTCCTTAAAGCCTAGAAAAAATAAAGAACCATACAAACCAATTACAAGCAATAAAAATTAATTCTATTTTATTTGCAGTGCTCTTAATTAAACAAAAAAACAAAAAATTATGAATTATTATGTGAGAAAAAAGGATCAATATAAGGGTCTGCTTCAATTAGAAATTACAAAAGGGATTATATATTCATATAAATCATTAAATGCAAGTAAAGTTTCCACTTTAAATGTTATAAATAACCTATGAAAATAAAACCTCAAAATATGGGTGATGAATTGTTCCATTATTAAACAAAGCTAAAAATGTATATATGTATGTACAAAATACTTACTTCAGTAAAAAACCAAAATGAATAAAAGCTGCATTACACTTTTGATACTTGAAAACCATTTTTTTGTTTGTCTATGGTACTTTCACAGGAATCTGCAACTATAATATTTGCAAAATAAATAAATTCAAAAAGTGTCATACTTCTATTTAAAAGACTGGGTTTAGCAAGATATTTAATGTCACCAAGGATGAATTTATTTACCAAAAAATACAGTAAAAGTAGCACTACAGTATATTTATACAACAGTTTTGTCTGGTTCTTAAATCTGATTGGCTGATAGTCGTGCAATAATCTGCAAATGACAGCACTCGTCCAGCCTCTCAACCCTTCACTCTTGCGTGTTACTCCACCCACATACAGCGACAAGCAGAGGACACACTACAGTTTGACAAATATTGCAGCTGTTGGACAACATAATGTACTTTTAAGGCTTTTTGTCAAATATGTAGTTGTTTAGTTTGCAACTATGCAGTTTATTTATAAGAAAACTGTCTATTTTTAAATATTTATCATTTCTGAGAGACAGCGCGTCGGCAGCCATTAGCCTGTTTTCGAGCAGAGCAAAGACGCTTAATGCTGTTCATCCACAAGATGGTGACCGAAACCGCATAATAAACCGTTAGAGGATATAGACAGCGTAATTTCAAACTACAGCTGATCAAATCATTATAAAAACAGGTAAGTGACATTCTAAGTCGATCTCTCTCTTGTTTATATTGTAATGCTGTATTTATACCATAGTAATTGTAGTGTATTAAATGTGAGATGAGATTCACATATCAGAAATGTATGAATTTTGTGTTGGGCATTCTTTGTAAGCGTTTTTTCTTATCGCAAACACAACAGTAATCTGGTAGTTATTGCGTTGCTTTGTTGCAATCAGGAGATCACAATGATTAACCCTGAAAAAGTCAGAGAAATACTGGGAAATGTCTCTAGACTGTCTATGTTTATGACATTTCATGCCGTTCAGCCTTATAATCTTAAAATGTGAGCAAAAACATCTGTTTTGTCATCACTTTAGACATTATGCTAAAGAATAATTTAAATATGTTGCTGAAGTAGCAACAGTTTGGTATTCTGACGTCAGCTGCAGATGTAAATGAATGACGGAAGAAAGTAGTTCCTCATACAAAAAGGTTTTTAGACTCGTGTTTGATTTTCTTTTTTATATACACGATTATGGTGTTGAACTGCTGTATAAATGCAAGATCACATTTGTAGCAGTGCGATGTGGCTGCATTTCGTCACTGGTGCCTGCAATGCTACTCGTGTGAAATTGTTTGTATAATATATATATATATATATATATAATGCTTTGCTGACAAATTCCATATATACAGATGCTTCAAAAAGAAATCTGTAATGGCATTAATATGCATTAATTTAAAATTATAACTATATCATAAAGTGGATTACACTACTATTCCAGTACCTGGCGAAACATTTCTGGGAAGTCGTAAACATAGGTAGTGCCGAGGCTCTGTGCCTGGAAGCGTTTGGACTGCAGCAGGTCTTTTGTGACGTAGGGTGTGTTGATGAGCATGCCATGAAGAGGACCCTGCTTATCTCCATATGCCTGGAACATGATCTAAAGACAGGAAAAATGGAAGACAAGAGAAAGTCAACCAGTCAGAGAGAGGTAAAAACATCCAAAAGTCTATCCATTAACCCACATCCAGACATACATAACGGTTGATGAAAAAATAGCTCTGACTGTTGCCGTTATTTGCAAATGTGTATGAATTTAATTTACTTTCATGTAAAAAGCATGTTTATATTTAGATAGATTAGAATAACAACAAATCATTCACATTTAAAAGAATAATATTAGTAAACAAATTTTAAATTGTGTAACTGTTGCCTCACAGTAATGAAAGCCTGTACAGTACCAGTCATGTGTTTGAACCCACAGAATTGTAATAATTTACTATATTTGTATTAAAAAAATATATGTATATCTTTGCAATTTGCACACAAATATTAAAGCAACAAAAGTGTTTAAGAAAGATCATTAATAAAAAGAAATGATTTCTAAAAGATCATGTGACATTGGATATAATAGAAAGCCCCCATTATGCATTAAAAAGTTCATATTTTACACTTTCATTGTTTTTTTACCCAATCATCCCGACGACTCTCATATGATCCGTTCAGCGATTCATTTGTTCCCAAACCCCTCCTTAGCACGATGCTAATCTGTGCTGATTGGTCAACTGCGTTCAGCGCAAGACAGAGAGAATTGCTCACCACGGCTTATCAACAATTTTGAAGCAGTCAGAGTGCAGAGTGTATGTGTGAGACCGATGCAGGAAAACATTAAAGCAAAGCAGTTAAACACCAGCATATTGTTGTATTCTTAACCCCAAACCAAAGTAATAACAACGACACACATTCAGTATTAATCCACACAGTGGCAAAAGTTAAAACTTGACCTCTGCATGTGTATAAGAACAGCTGACGGTGGCCATAGCAAAGACAAACAGCAGAAGATCGTGAGTTTCTGTGTACTGTAAAGTTCCTGTCAAGCTCTGTCAATGTCCCATACGTCAATAGTTGCTTTTGATCCTTCCTTTAACAAACAGCCGACGAATCCTCCATTGTAGAGGTGTAGATTGCTGAAGCACTCGTCAGATAAATTACAGGAGCACAGCACAAGGCTGGGGCTATAATGCTCAGGTATTTTTGCAAAAACAAACTTCAACCACTGACTCTTCACAGCCTCATCTTTGGAAAGGGACATTTCCCCATACATTTCAGAGCACAGCGTAATCGCGACATGATTCAACCAGGATCTGCTACAGTGTTTGTCTTCTTTTTTTTTTCTTACAGCGTTTGTGGGCGAGGCTGGAGGTTTAAATTTTTCCTGGTGTGTATGCGCAAAAAACGGGCAGGGCTTGAGTTCCGTATCGACGTCACGCCAACACAGCTAAAGATACTTTACCTCGACAAGTCATTCAAACTACTTTGAGTCAACCCTTTTATAGATGAATCTATTTTTTTTTTTAAACAGTGCACTTTGAGATTTAAGCCTTAGCTGGATATTTCACTTCAATTAGAGCCGTAACACACCGCATGGAACGTATTTTTCAAAAACCCTTAATAGGGGCTTTTTAAACAACAATAGCTACTGAAAATTCAGCTTTGGTATCACAGAAATAAGAACTTAAAATGTATTAAAAGTACTTAATAATTATTGTAATTATATTATATTATTATTATACAAATATATATATATATATATATATATATATATATATATATATATATATATATATATATATATATATATATATATATATATATATAAATAATTAGACCTCGAACATAAGAGACTTCTCTATAATGCATGAAAACGTAAACAATTTGTTGTTAAATGCTTAAAATTGGCTTCACAGACAATACAAAAAAAAAAAATGGCTACATAGAAGTATTTGGCAGTTGCAGTTAGATAAAAAATAAGAATTTAAAATCCCAATATAATGACAACATCATTTCTTTACTGCTGTTTATATGATTTTAAAACTTTACTCTAAATGCAGAAAAACAGCCAAAATAAATAATTGGAAATGTGTGTTCAAACCTTTGACTGGTGCTGTACTTAAAACTGACAGAATGTCAAAAATGGCTATCAAACAACGATGTGTGAGGAATTCCTAAAACTGTTGTAGCGGTATGTGTATAGGGTGTTTGTGCGTTTGTGTGAATGAGAGACACGTGAGCCCCACCTGTCGGTCTTTGTGCCCCACCTGTCCTGTACGGGAGTCAGTGACTTCCTTGTACAGGCTGATGTCCAGGTAGTAGCCACTCTCGTTGGTCAGGAAGAGGCGGATGGGGATCTGTTTGCCGGTGGGAGTCAATCGGATGTTGATCTTCAGCTCGGCTTGAAGCACACGGAGCTTCCACAAGCGACTGCCGTAGCGCATGACCATGGAGCGCACAGATTCCTCAATCTGATAAGAAGACAAGAGCTTAAAACACTTGCAAACACAGCACTGTGCTAAAGTTTGAGGCCACCATTACATTTGTTTGTTTAGTTATAGTATAAGAACCATATTAAGGTTGGGCAATGTTGACCAATAAAGCATCATACAATGTCTAATGTAAAACATCTTGATGGACGATGCATCGGGGCTTTGGGGCATGGTGAAAGCAAATACATGTTTTAACATATCAGTTTTATCAATCTAGGTACAAAGTCTAAAGCACACGGTGCAAAGTATTAGGGACATGTCCAAATCCACTTCTGCTATTTTAAGGACAGAAAGATACGATCTACGCCGCAGCACATGGTCTAACAGGGTTCTGCTTATCCTCTTAATGAGTTATAGGTGTTTTGAGCATAACTTGCAGTAAACCAATCAGAGTCTTATCTCACATTTCCTTTAGGAGTCAGTTGAGTCACACCATGGTGCATTTGCTATTTACATGGTGGCCTTTTTTTCGGCTAGTAAAGCATTCAGTTTTTCCACTTACAGTTAAACAGACCATCTGCAGCAAGAGGATAAAGAACAAACGAGCCTCCTCCAATCGGCCTCTTTACGTTCTCTTTACTTTTACTCTTTACTCTTTTACTTTCATGGAGTAAGAAAACGGTGGTGTACACACTTCACTAAAGACATCCATTAGCCTACATATTTATTCCATTTGTTAAGTGCAAAGATTTGTTTCAAAACTATTTCCAAATTAATTTCTAATTGCCAGAAAATTAACAAATGAAAAATAATAAGGAAGTCTGTTCAAAGTTATATCCAAAAACATGTCCTATGCCCCATATGGTCCAAAACCTGACATGTGGACAAATCTAAGCTTGTTTTTATTAAAACAAATATAAATATGTATATAATAAATAATAATAATACTACTAATAATAACATTATATTAAAGCGAATTAATAATAATAAACTGAAAAAAGACCCCCAGATGAGGCATGGAGGTAGTGGTTTTTATATTTGTGTAGAAAAAAATATTTCTTAATTTTTCAATTGTAAAGATATTTGTGTATTGCTGTACATCCTGTGTGTTTTAAGCAATGTGTTTGCATTGAATATGCACAACTAACGCACTCTGCGCTGGGATTAAGAACTGCTTTCAGTTGGTCAATTGCAATGCACCAACAATACGCCTTAACACACCTCCTTTTTAGACTGTAACACCCATGAGTCCACAAAGTGGAGCAAATGGATTTGCTATTTAAACAACTTGGTGCAAATCAAATAAATTAAGGCTGCGTTGGTTTGAAAATAGCAACTAATCGTGCCAAACAAGTCTTGCGTCTTATTGCATCGGGTGTATGATAGGGCCCATAGAGATTTTTGTAATAATAATACATTTTTATCCATCAAATAAATGTAACAATTTATATATATATATATATATATATATATATATATATATATATCCTGTTCCTGTCTGCAATTAGCCTATTTAAATTATGTCGCCATTTACTCATCCAAAACCTATTTGAGTTTCTTTCTTAGTAGGCTGTTTCAGAACATATTTTAAGACAGAACAGCCAGAAATAGTAGAATAAGATTTTAGCAATAGAAATTAAATTAAATTAATCTTATAATTAGTGTTTCTTCACATGGTTAAAAAGAAAAGCATTTATAAAACCTAAAGATTTAAATAATTGAACAGCCACTCTGGCTGAAAAAAAATCTAAGCTAGTCGTAATCTAATAACAAATAAAATGATTTCAGATTCTTGCATTTAGATTTAGATGTTTGGTGCACTCACAAAATGCTTCTAATTAGGGGTGTAACGATACACTTAGCTCACGATACAATTTGTATCACGATATAATGTTCACGATTCGATATGCATCATGATATTTGGAATAAAAATTGAAAATTAAACTGAAATGCAAATTTTATTTAAAAAAAAAAAATTACCAAGTAAACTATTTTTTATGTATTTCTTTTGTTTCAACTTGTTAAACCGAACCTTCTTTAAGAAAATAAATTAAACAGGACTGTCTCTGGAAAATAAAACAATTTAAAAACTTCTTGAAAAATATTATTGAAATTATTCAATTTAATTGAATTTAACAGTAAGAGCTTAAGGCTTTGCTTGGTCACTTGCGTTTTTTGTGTGCAATCTACATTTCCAGGTAATCAGCAGTTCTATAAAATAATCCTCAACTGATGTGTATCTGTCTGAGAGGTTTTTATGGATGGCTGTTTTCATGTTGGGCATGATGAGTGACAGGGTGGCCGTCTTTTCATTACACAGGACAGTCGTGGCTCTTTTCAGCAGTTTAGGCAGGTTTACTATTTCTTCGGCGTTGCTGATGTCGGCGCTATCAAGTATATCATGTTGACGTGCATTTTTGTGTACCTCTGTACTCAAAAGAGTTCATGCTCGTCGTAATCATAACTCTAAAATGCGATATGATTATTTAAATTATGTGCACGCTTTCGGTTTCATTTCCACTGCTGTTCATTCTTCCCACGTGGCTCCTGAATGATCACTCTGTTCCACAAACTGAATGTTGTTTACTATATTACCTGTTAGTCACAACCTGCAGGTTCTGTTCACTGCGCTTGCGCGCATCTATCATAGTCCGCCCTCTGTAGTAACAGCTCACGGTCAGCTCACGTCATGTGTGATTTTGCTGCCGCCAATACATCATTATATGAAGACAGAATGATATTTTAGGGTGAATTGTACCTTATAAATACAGTATGCGACTCTTTCAACACCATTAGGAGGTATCCATGTCGCTGTGCAAAGTATGTAAATCACTGTGAAGTTTTTAAAACTTAGGCTATGTTTGACCCAGTATGCGTGTCAAAAAGCGGACGAGTCTAAAGCAATGACTGTAAAACCGAAATGTTGCCAGACGTCTGATTTTGAGAGGATGGGCCATCCTCTATTTCAACTCCACTCATCTTGGTCTGCTAACATTACTGCTGCTGCAATCTGAACTCACGTGCAAACAGCTCAACTAATAAGAGAAAACGGACGTCATATCTTAATCAAATCGTCATTACGCCACGATGCATATTGTGACATTTTAGCATCGCAATAAATCGTACAACGATAAATCGTTACACCCCTACTTCTAATGGATTGCTTCTCTTGCCGCTTCAACATATTTGCTTGCATTCTATTGTCTTGTAATATATTTTATTCATTACATATAGACCTACATTATATAGTTACAGGTATAGCTACAAATAATGTCATGTGATTCATTCAAGTACATTGGGTCGTACAAGAAGGCAGGAGTGTTCCTTCCAACAACCTGCCTCACTCTGTTAAAAATGAGCTCAATAGGCAGAAAGCAGGCAAACTGCAGGTGGCCGTTTGAATGCATTCGAACACTTGCAAGTCTTCATTGCATATTTCAAGTTAGACTGTTGCTGTTGCGGTGGTGGATTATCGCAATGCCAGCTCAACATCGTAATGTCTGTCAACCATCAGTGATGGATAATGACATAGGACGTACTCACACTGGGTACAGTTGCCTCAAACCGTGCTGAAGCGGGATTGTTCCCCCTCCCCTCTCCCTCGATGGCCTACCCTCACACATCACACGATTATGTCATTGATGATGCAACTGTTTAGTTTAACAGGAAGCAAAGCGCTCTCACTCAGCACAGTGGAGATTGCTTCAGTTATATTGTTTTGTATTATTTTTAGTTGTTTGGGATGCAGTAACACACAGTCAAATATTGTGTCAAACAGATTCCACAACTTTTGACTCCCATAAATTATCATAAAAGTCATTGTGCTGTATGTATTAGGAGGTTTGCTGAAGGTGCAGCTGATGTGCAGTAAGGGGTTGGTATCTTTACTAAATTATAACAGTTTGCGTTCATTGTGAAGTAAGAATGATTAACAAATCCATACATAATAGTCTCTTCAAAGTGACATCACATCTTCAGTTTCAGGCTCATGTGTGCTTTGCACTCACACTACAACCGTATCGTGCCAAAGCTCAACCGAACCACCATCTGGCACACCTCTTCCAACCAGGCCAGGGCCGGTCAACTGAACCATGCTTTTGCTCAATTCGGAACACTCACACTTGTCAAACAAACTGGGAAATGCGCCTGGGCATGGTTCGGATAGCATAGTGTAAGTGCATTCATAGACTATTGGCACAACCCTAAACCAAATATAGTTATCTTATTGTCCTTAATACATTACAAAAAGAAATATAGGTTAGAGATGTAGTTTTTTGGTCTAATTGTTAAATACATAGAAGTTGGACAGAGTTGGAGAGAGAATGAAAAATGAGTGCTTGCAGCCTTCAGTGAAACATGTTGGAGTCTCTGGTTTGTCCTGGTTTGGGGCTGCATTTCGGCCAGTGTTGTTTTCAAAATTGTCTGTATTGATGGGATTGCTGAATGCTGAAAAAAGTACAGAGAGGTCTTAGTCTATTATGCCGTGCATTTAAGTCTTTTTGTTAATGGGTTAGTTTTTCCAGCATGAGAATTATCCCAAACCCACTGCTAATGCAATGAAATCCTATTTGGAGGAAAAAGACAAAGTCATGAAATGGCCCCCACAAAGTCCAGACCTGAATATTATAGAGGCGGTATGGGACCACCTGAACAGAAAAAGAAAGTTATGACAGCCCAAATCTAAAGCAGATCTCTGGGAAGTGCTGAACGTGCTTATTTATATAATTTATAGCATTTAATTTAATTTATATAATTTATCTTTAATAGCTTATAATAAAACAAATTAGGTAGTCTCCCCAAAAGAACTGTTCAGAAATTCCATCCAAAGAAAGATCATAAACACTGAGTTTTGTAGTATTTAAAGTAATTCTATTGTGAAAATTGTGCTGTTGTTTCTTTTTTGTCTGTGTCTGTGTATGTGTTTGTGTGTGTGTGTGTGTGTACATACTTCCCATATTTTCTGTTTGTATCTTAATAAAGACACCGAAAATAAAGTATTGATATATAGAGTACTGTGAAAAAGTTATTTTTTCTTTTGTTTTTTCTCAAAAAACTTTCTCTCAGTACTGTATACAGTATACCAACGAAACAAGAAAATCCAATCAAACTTATTAAAACCTTTGAAGGGTCCATGATGACTGTTGGAACGAAGTTGAGGAAGATGTGATTGCAGTCGGTTCGCACAGTGGTGTTGTTGAAAGCCACTTCCAGTTCATCCATGGCCTCCAGCAGCAAGCGTTCTGCCTCGTTGTGCAGGTACTCAAATGATGCTTCCTACACGGCATAGAACCAAACAGTATCAAACACCTAATCAGATTTTTGAAGGTGATCTCAGACAGCAGAGACTCTCCTACCTTGGTGACCAAATCTGAGTGACGGATGATTGCCCGCACAAAGAAGCGGTAATCTGTGACCTCAGTGCCTACTTCCACACGGGCAGCTCCCAAGTACAGGTGCATCTTATGATTGGCACAGGGGATGGCTGTCAGTGCAAAATTACGCATGCGGTTGAGCTCCAGCTGGAAAGCTAATGCAGGTTCCAAGTGTCTGTAGATACGGTCTTCCTCAAACTAAAAAAAACAAATAAACAAATTGACAATTGGAAAAATATCTAAAATATTAACTAGTATTAATTAAGTACTAGAACTCAAAATGTACTCCTTAGAAAAAATATTTTCATAAACGCAGTGGTTTGCTCTAGCCTTGTGCAAAGATTAATTTCTATTTGCATGCACATGTATGTCAAATAAAAAATAAAATAAAAAAAATTAAAGTAAAATAAAATAAAAAAACTAATAAAAAATTTAAAAAAACTAAATAAAATTTAAAGTAAAATAAAATTTTAAAATAAAATAAAATAATAGAAAATTAAATTAAATTAATACAAAATTTTAAAAATGCAATAAAATAAAAATAAAAATAAATGAAAAAATCCAATTAAATTAAAAAATAAGATAAAATAATAAAATAAAATCTAAGTAAAATTAAATAAAAAATACAATAAAATAAAAATGAATTAATACAAATTTATAAAAGTAAATAAATAAAATAGGCATCCGCTACATAAAATATATGCTGGATAAGTTGGCGGTTCATTCCGCTATGGCGACCCCAGATTAATAAAGGGACTATGCCAAAAAGAAAATCAATTAATGAATGAATAAAGTAAAATCAAATTTAAAAATACCATAAAAAATCTTAAAAAATAAAATTAAATAATAAAAATAAAAGGAGGTAAAAAAAATCATTAAATGAAATAAAATTAAAATAAAATAAAAATATAAAGTTGGATGCACTTCTTTTTTGAACATAAATCTTTTACCTAAAGATCACATGAACACTCTGGCATAATTTTAACGAAACAAGACTTAATAAAATAGAAAATATGAATCATATGAAATTGCTCCTTTTAAATTTAGAGCAAGTGAGTCTACAAGAGCAGAGAGTGCCCGTGAGCTATAATAGCAGGCTAGATTTAGTAAATGTAGGTAATCACAGTAGCTAATGGATGTCATCCCTCTCAAATGAGACAAATAATTAAAAAGTTCATTAATGTAATGAGCTTTGCTGGAACCATTTTAGCAAACTATCAGGGCTGAATGAAGCCAGAGAAACGCCACTGATCATGATGGAGTGACTCGCACAGAAAAGACAAGAAACTGAGGAATATAACAGCTTTCTCTCTTCTTCCTCCTCATTTTCCTATTGTACTTTCCCCCTTTAAACATAAAGCTGCTGATGAATTTAATGAACACTTGCATTTAAAAGGCTTACAGTCTTTTGTGCCGGTCATTGGTAGTCTTGTGTGAAACATAACTCACCTTGTCTCGAGCCCGGAATGTAAAAAATTTGGGGAATTCTCTCTGTGAAATATAAGACATTAGACATTAGCAGTGAAGTAAAACAAGCTTTGAGATTATATCAGAAAACAGGTTAATTAATAATTTAGAGACCACTTGTAATGGCTCTGTTCCAAAAGCTGGGAGTCAAAAACATAACATTTCAATGCTAAACATTAAATTCATAATAAACGTAAATGTGGAACGGTATGTTCAATTAAATGTAAATATCACCAACATCAATACTGATTTATGAAGCCATTTTTGGGCAATATTAATTAAATTGTTAACCATTTTGTGTTTTATTAACCTTAATTTCTTCATAAATATTGATATATGACAATATTTGTCATTTAAAACACTGATTAATCAGCAAACAGTGTCATGCATCTTTTAAATCAACCGACAGTCCAAATTGCACACTTATTAGGCCCCGTTTACACAAGTACTGTTTTAAAACGATGTTTTAGAACGAAAACAGTCCACGTCCACACTGGCTTATCACCTAGAGTTTCTGAAAAGATCTCACATCACGTGACTGAGCTCCAGGCAGTCAACGGGTGTTTTGAGCACAAAACCCCAGGTAAGAGCAGCGCATGTTGGACAGTTAATCAAGGATATACCGCTGGATCTCATCTTACTATAGTTGGTAAACTTGATAATTCATCCTGTCTTTATCTAACAACACTTTTCTCTTTTGAACCTTTTACTTGTTTTCAGGTGTATTTTGGTGCAAAGAAATTAATTTGTGTACCCATTTGCTTGCCTTAATTTGCTATAATGTATAAACTTATTGTACATTATACTATTACAATGATCATTATTGATTATTAAAACTGATATTCAACAAAAGAGAGAGTATGTTTTGTATTTTTAGAAGAAAATGAATGGAGGCAGTTATGTTAGGCTCTGTTTATTTGTAAATATGCATACAGTGTAGCTACACGATGCCTCACCATTCTTGCTGTCTGCTGAAAGTTCTTTATATCATGTTTTCATATGATTGTAAACATACCTGTAGTAAAACTTATCCACTTTAAAACTAAAACATATTTAAGACTTTATACCTAGCTCATGATTAATTATAAAGCGAGTTTCCTGGGAGAGAGCCCTGAGCTCATAAGATCCTTGAGCTCAGGGCTCCCTCTCATTTGCAGGGCGAAAGAGTAGTTTGAGCTTAGGTAGGTTTTAAGAATTCCCACCTTTGCTAAGGGCTGATGGTAGATTACATATCAATTATAGAGATTAGGGATGCCACGGTTCTCAATATAATATTGAACCGTACGGTACGACCTCCACGGTTCAATATGCACTTGTGAATTGTGGTTTTCTCGGTTTTGCATTTAAATAATTTATGTGCGTTTTCCCCCAACATCTCCCCCAATTGACTGTGTGTGCCTCTAAATCCATGAGCTGAGAAAAGGAAACTCCTCCCTGTGAGTAAATTATCCAAATTACTGTGCTCTAAAGTTAGGGGCGCTTGACCCTCATTCCACACTTTAACATTGCGAGCGGCAGTGAAGTGAGGCTGAGGCATCAGTACAAGGAAGCGCCGGCGAAGTGAGGCAACAGAAAGAGAAAGCGCCAGCATCTTTAAAATCTTCGATGTGAGGACATTTCAGTTTGGCCGGTAAGTATAATGCCAATAAAAGAAAAGACAGTGAACAAAAAATAACTGTGCGCAAGCATTGTTTTACATGTATAACCATGACTGCACATCTGCAGCGTCATCACCCAGCAATATCACTGTCTGAAGGCAGGATAGCAGAAAAGGTAATAAAGTCCTCCAAATAGCAACAATTCATCGCTGAATCTTTCAAGCAAACATACCCAATTGGTTCCGAGAGACACATAAATTAACAAGGGCAGAGCGGGTGTTTATTGCTAAAGATTTGCAGCCGTTTTCAGTGATGGGAGATGTGGGTTTTTGTCATTTTATAAAAGCACTCAATTCGTGTTACAGACTACAGTCTTGCATTTTTTCAGCATTGAGATAATTAAGAGGGTTTATTTATGCTTACTTAAGTACAAATATGTTTATTTGAAATGGCCAATTTATCTTTATTAACTTCACATGTATGTTTATTTTCAAAGTGTAGGATTTTATGTTCCCCAGTTTGTACATGGACTACCAGCAGCTGTGAGATTTCAGTTTTATTTTTTTATACAAAACACCAGGAACTACTGTCCTTTTCTTTAATTTTAAGTAAAACAAAATGAGTATTGCAATAAATCGTTTTTATTTTTTCTCCTTAACCTCTTATCTATTGCCTATAGAATAAAATAAAAAAAAACACGTGTCAAGCCATGAGAACCGAACCAAAAACAGTGTTAAAAACAGAGGTATGTATTGAACCGTGAGCTAACTATTGTTAACCGTGGGCTAACTACTGTTGCCTCCCTAGTAGAGATATCCAGCTGGTTAAGAGCTTGACTAGTGCTAACTTAGATTCATCAACTTGATTATGACATAATTTTGGACAATGGGAGGAAACCCGAGAACCCGAGGGAAACCCATGCGAGCACAGGAAAAACATGTCAACTCCACAGAGGAACGACAGCTGGCTTGTTAAGTATTCAAACCAGTGACGTTCTTGCTGTGAGGCAACAGCGTTAACCACTAGGCCTCCATGCCACCCTATAAAAGGAAAGGTGCGGCAGTAGGGGTGGAAGGGGGGATTCTTCAAGTAGAAGATAACTTTAGTAAGACACTCTAGCTATTTATAGTGAGTTTGTGAACATCTAATAACCATGCGTTAGTTAATGCGAGACCAGCTGTGTTCAATTATAATCAAGTGCTCCTCTCGAAATCAGTTTTAGAATAAACTTCACTTAGTGTAAACACGGCCTTAGAGCATTAGTTCATGAGCTTAGCAACATGCTAACATCTAGGATAGTAAAAATTGATCAAAAATCACAAATCAACGTCTTCTTAAAATTGAACAATGTGTGCGGCATGTTGATTTTGGACGTAAATCATTAGCATAGCAACACTTTAATATTGATTTCTACTAGAATTAATTGTTAGCAATGTCTAATCATGCACTGCAGAAAAGTAGCACTGCTAGTGTAGGCTTCAATGAGTGTTTCAGTTAAGTCATTTGTGAGGTTCCATATTGATTAATATAATATAAATTAATATAATATAATGTAATATAATATAATTTAATATAATATATAGTAATATATATTAAATAAAATATAATATAATATAGAGTAATATAGAGAAATATAATATAATATAATATAGAGTAATATATTATAATATAATATAATATAGAGTAATATAATAAAATATAATATAATATTATATAGAGTAATATAATATAATATAATATAATATAATATAATATAATATAATATAATATAGAGTAATATATTATAATATATTATAATATAATATAATATAATATAGAGTAATATAATAAAATATAATATAATCCAATATAATGAAAATAAGAAGTGAATCATTAGCATAGCAACACTTATTGACCTCTACTAGAATGAACTGTTAGCAATGTTTAATCACACTCTGCAGAGAAGTAGCTTTGTTAGTATATACTAGAATGAGTGCTTCAGTTAAGTAATTTGTGAAGTTCCATATTGTTTAAAATGAATATAATATAATATAATATAATATAATATAATATAATATAATATAATATAATATAATATAATATAATATAATATAATGAAAAATGAATCATTAGCAGAGCAACACTGCTAGTGTATGCTTGAATGAGTGTTTCAGTTAAGTCATTTGTGAAGTTCTATATTGGTTAAGATGCTGCCAAAAAGGTTGACAGCAAAACAGCTCAGTAGGTTGTGGAACAGTACCAATGTCTAAAACATTCCACAATGACTTACATGGAACCTCTGGTCCACCTCACAGTTGATTTGCTTTCTGAAATCCTGTTAATAACGGTACCAAGACAAACACACATACATGCAGTTAGCAGAGCAGAACTGAAGTCAATCATTTACTGTCATTCAAATTAACCGATTGCAGATTATATAATCTGATTTCAGGAGATCAGAAGCATGCTCAAAAGTCATCTTTGAAAGCTTACCTTCTGAGCAACCAGGAAGGTAAGTCTTCGGATGCCGTGGTCAAACAGCAGAGATTTCTGTAGTAGAAATAATCAGAATTGAACTTACTGAGTCAGACATTACTTTAACATGTCCAATAAAAACAGGCAACCCATAGAGAGCAGAACAACTTCCTTCACCTTAGACTGTGTAAACTCACGAAACATGGCCGCCAGCCCATCATCATCAATATCACTGTCCGTCTTTATTGCCACATTAAGAATATGAATGGGCTCATCTTGAATGCTCTACAGCGAAAAAGAGAGAAGAAAAAAACATTCAAAACTAGGGACAGACAAGGATATATTTTAATTCAGTAGTTCCATCAATCCTAGAGTGTGTTGCAGGCAGATATTTTGATGGGTCGAAATTCAGAAGCAAGTTACAAGATTCATACACATTTTTACTACAAAAACTCCATGACTTTTCCAGGACTCAAGTACATTTTTATGACCTAATGTTTCATGTAATGTCTTCGCTTACATGGTAAATCATCAGAAAAACAATGTACATTTACATTTATTACAGCATATCATAAAACACGCAATAATCTTTTTAGTTTCAATTGATTTTTATATCTATGTAAAATAGATAATGCTTACACAGCAGTAATGATGTAAGACCATGTTTTTGGCCGAAAAAAGAAAAGATGTAAAAACAACCAACCTCCAATCAAGTATGCACATATTTGTCAAACTAATTTTAGATAATGGTAAGTTTGTTAAAATATCAATAGTAAGTAAAACTACTTCTATTGTAAAGATGCAATCACACTGCACTTTTCGCTCCATAGACTTCCATTCATAGGCATGCGAATGAGGCAGACCAGAAATGCAAGCACGTACATCAAGTTTTACATTTCACTGCATTCTAAAGTTCAAGTTTGGAGAATTCTTATCTGCGAAATCACATCAGTAATATCAATAGAAGATAACTGAAAATAAGAAATGTAAAATATGGAGCAATCGCTCACTTTTATTAACGTCTAATCATATTGTTTAATACCTCCCCTTTTCGCAGCGTTATACGACAGAATTTCGAAATCACAAGATCTAGTGTGATAAATGCTAAATGACTAAATGTAAATGTAATTTCCATGACTTTTCCAAAACCTTGTGGGCTTTTCCAGGCCTGGAAAATTCCATGTCAAAATTCCATGACTTTTCCAGGTTTTCCATGACCATATGAACCCTGAAGTTAGCATTTTAGCACTATCAGTTCTACTCTGTTTTAAAAAGTCAAATATTCAGGGATTTTTGGCTAACTGTCTTAAATTCCAAAACTCCTTAAAGTTGTTTCCAACTCGGGTATATACAACTTTTAGCTTTATAATGTACATATACTTCTGTCTGATGCATTTGGCTTCAAAATTCAGTCATGTTTATCATTGAATCACAATGAAAAAAAAAAAAAGTTATCCTAAACATGTTGTTCACAAAGATTATCTAAACCAGGGACATCTTACCATCACTCTTTATTAAAGTTTGATTGAAACATTTTATTTATTTGCTAGTTTGACACATTAAGGCCACGTTCACCTTGCTGTCCTCCTCTCTATACAGCACAGGGTTCCCCCCTTCAGGAAAGGTTGGAGTTGATGGAGGAGAGTCTGAGAAACAGCTCAGAACATCCTTTATGTTCCTAAATAAGAAAAAAAAAATAGACATTACAGTACATTATTATTTAACACCACTCAATTAAAATGTTTGTAAATTTAGAGAAATTTAGAGAAACAATTCATGATATGCCACATTTATTCATTCATCTATCCATTCATTCATTTTCCTTTAGCTTAGTCCCCCTTTATTGGGGGACGCCATAGCTAAATGAACCACTATCTATTCCGACATATGTTTTACGCAGCCATTCCAGTTGCAACCCAGGACTGGGAAATGATACGCCACATTACAAGTTCAAATGAGTTTTTAAAATCATATAATAATCAGTTTGGCAATGTTGAGGGATCCTGATTTTTACCAGTTTTGCTATTTACTAGCATTCAAAATAACCATGAATAACAAAACAAAAAAGAGAAGTCACAAGAACGCTCAAGCATATCTGCTTTTTCTTGTCACTCATTAAATTACATCATGATATTAACAAAATAAAAGCCTTTTATTTTTCTTTTCTATATATCAGTCTAATCTTAAAAATTACTTCGCAAACCAAGAACTAAACACATTGCTTGTGAACCAAACTAATCCTCCTTAAAACTATATTGATATGACTGTGTTCATATATTATAATGGGTTTTAAAACCTTTTTATACAAATGTTTTTATTCTAAATGTTTTTATTATCTATTTATAATGATATGCCAATGGCTTAATTAATTTAATTTACAGTATTAGGTCCAAGGTATAGCTCAGTTTAGTTAAGTTTGCCAGAACTGGTGTGGCACCAGCAATGTTATTAAACGCTAGAGTCACTTTTGACCATAAATAGCAATAAGGTGGGGCATACACACATAATCAGTGTTGGGAAAGTTACTTTTGAAAAGTAATCAATTAAAAATTACTGATTACTACTGGAAAAATTGTAATCTGATCGCATTACTAACTACTTCATGTAAAAAGTAATCAGATTACAAATTACTTTACTTTGAAGTTACTTTTAAAGCATAAAATATACCCATAAACTAAACTATAAAATAAACTGCAGCTCTTTTAGTAATTTGATTTTCACTGAAAAACGTGGGTTGGTCACAGCAGCTTGACATATTCAAAAGACTTAAAGAGTTCACCCAAACTTAAAATTCTCTCATCATTCACTTGTTCCAAACCTGTTTGTCTATTGTTTTTAACACAAAAAATTACATGAAGAAAACTGGATACCTGAAACCTTTGACATCCATAGTATGGAAAAAGCACTGTAGTGTTTGGGTGTTTTGGGTTTGTCTGAGGTAATTAGTCTACCGAAATGTGTATATTTCATACAAAGTATGAAGCTGATTCGTCATGTCTTGTCATGTGACCAGCGGTTTTCAACTAGTGTGTCTAGGCAATATGCGATCCTAATACACGTGCGCGCGCAAAAGAAGAGATATATAAACTGCCCCGAGCAGCTACGCTTATCTTCACATGAAAAAGATACCTTCACTCCCGATTCAGCACAAAAATCCAATTTAGCCTTTGTTTAGGCTGAATTGGGCCACTGTGTTTTTGGGTGCCGGTGTCCTCCTCAATGATGAGTATTGTAGTAGAATGCTTTCTGTTCAAGTGCTTGAACAAGTTGCTTAAGTTAAAAGCAGTCAAAGGTTCTTAGGAGACTGGACATAGATTAAATTTCACAGCAAACACTTTTAACAGAAACCATTTCAGCTCGTGTTCTCCAGCAGTTTAAAAGTGCATGCTTATTAACTGACGTTGCAGCGGAATACATGATTTAAAAAACCTTTTTTTTTTTCTTCTAAAAACTATAATTGTAATGCAAGTAACGCAATTACATTGACTTTAGTTCAGGGGTGTCCAAACTCAGTCCTGAAGGGCCGGTGTCCTGAAAAGTTTAGCTTCAACCCTAAGCAAACACACCATAACCAGCTATCAAGTTCTTACTAGTTATACTGGCAGGCGTGTTGAAGCAAGTTGGAGCTAAACTCAGCAGGGCAGCGGGCCTCCAGGACACCCCTGCTTTAGTAACTGTAATCAAATCACACAAATTTAAAATGTCATTCGTTACATTACAGAGTTCCTCAAAAATGTAATTAGGATACAATAATGCGTTACTGGGGGGCGCGTTACACCCAACTCTGCCCATAATAAAGATAAAAGATGCAAGTAAAATCAGGGTCATTTAACAAGCAAAATAAACAGCAAATTAATTTTTTTTTTGTTTTTTTTTTAAATAGGCTGATTTAACACAACTTTTTTAAGGAGGGGGATGGCTTTAATTGTTTTATGTGAAATCCACTTAAATTTGTTAAAATAATGAGGTTAACTTAATAAATTAGTGTTGGAACAACATGATTAAATTGTATGGAACTTAGCATCAATAATGTAAGACTGCCACTAACCTGGTGAACTCCTGGAAAGAGCGGAAGGAAACCATGGCTCCCATGCGCTGACAGGGTGGGGTAAAGGAGGTGTCTAGGAGCACATCACTAACGCTGGCCACGTGGACCATGCCGTAGTGGTTCAGGTTTGAGGAAAAGGACATTCTGAGAGCACAACACGCATTCAGAAACACAAAAGACATTCAGTTATTAACCCAGCTGCATACCCGTAACCTCTTAATGAAGTGGTAGATCACCCCAGGGGAACGACCAAATCACCACCATCACACATCAGTCCAAATCACAGGAGTGAATGAGAAAAGCATCGCCTCCTCACAAGCTGAATGTGAACACACTGATGTGTGAGATCTGAACCTTTTATAAAAAGCTCAGTTGTCAGGAGGCAATTAAAATAAAAACAAGAATGAATTAAACTTTACTGTATCATAAGGGTGAATTCATGCATTCTCATTCAAATACTTTACTGTAAATTACGGTGGAAGAGCAGGTTCATTTAAAATATTCCAGGTTAAATAAAATCTATTGGCGTACTGGTTTTAAATATCATATATGAGATATGATATAAGAGATAGAATATAAGAGAGATCTTATATTTGAGTCATCCCTCTCTTTTAAAAAAGAAACTAAAAATAAATTTTTTATTGTTATACAGTACATTAACAACAAAAGGTTTTCAAATTGAAAAAAAAAAAAAAAAAAAAAAAGAGTTCTAAATGTGTTATGAAAGTTATAAAACTTAATGGGTATACTGTCAAAAAATCATTCTGCTTTCTAAAATCAGAAATTGTAATAGTAACTGGTTATTTTATTACCGGTGCTAGTTTTTTCTATGGAGGCACACACAAAGCATGCAATGCTGATGTGTGATAAGGATATTCTGGATTAAATTAAAATGAGCAAATCATTTAGTTAACAATGCCATTATTAACAGTGCTCAGCATAACTGATTACACGCCATTTTGAAAATGAATATTTTTATTTATTTCTCAGTGAATATAGGCAATGTAGAGTATCTTGGTGCATTTAAATAAAACAGATTCATTAAAGAGATATATTTATTAAAATCATATTTTAGTCAAACATATTTACAAATTGAAAGATAATACAATTAAATTCAAGCAAAATATTGCAAAAAAAATAATTTTCAATTATTTGCTTCTCTTGATTTTCCCTCCTTTTAAAATTTTTATTTAACATTTTTCTAAAACAAATGAAAAAAGGCAACTAGTTTTTTGGCCGTTATCGTTATCCAGATTTGGCTTTATTACTGAATAATCTAATGTATATGCACAAATATAATACTGTACAGCTTCCTATTAAAATATGAATTTAAAAAATAGATTTGTAAGGGGTGTACTTGTATAAGCTAAGCACTTTACATAAAACTAGGGAACAAATGGTTACATACAAGTATGTTGTTAGAACTAATGTCGATTTTTAAATGTCCAAGGTAGTCATTTAATACCTCATAAAATGATTCTTGCTGTAAATACAGTATGTCTGACAATATTTTTTGGGGATTTAAACTATTTGCTAAACCGAATGACACATCTGTTAATCTCGAATCTTGCCATTATTTACATTACATATAGGAATTTAATTGAATAAAACATTATGATGTACAGAAAAACAAAATTTTTTATCAGATATAATCTTTTTATCAGATATCAGATATAATCTTTTTCAGTTACAATTTTATTACATATTATTTAGATTTTTTTTTCTTTTTTAAACATTTCCCAAATGATGTTTAACAAAGTAAGGACATTTTCACAGTCTTATAACATTATCATGTCTGATAACATTTTTTTTTCTTCTGGAGAAAGTCTTATTTATTTTATTTCGGCTACAATAAAAGCATTTTTTTATTTTAAGTTAAAAATTAATAGGTCCTTTAAGCTATATATATATATTTGATAGTCAACAAAACAAACCATTAAATGCATTTAAATGGCACTTTAAGCTGTATAGAAGTGTCTTGAAAAATATTTAGTCAAATATTATTTACTGTCATCATGGCAAAGATAAAATAAATCAGTTATTAGAAATGAGTTATTAAAACTATTATGCTTAGAAATTAAAACAATCTTCTCTCCGTTAAACAGAAATTGGGGGGGAAATAAACAGAGGGGCTTCAACTATACAAAAAATTATATGGTTTTCATCATATTTCAGCCTGTGGCATTAATAAGCCTGGACTACACAATTTTTAAAAGCAGAAACTTAATTGTTAATGTGCTTGATTGTATATTATGTAAATACACTCAATATTCAAACTGTTAAACTGTCTAGACCAGGGGTGGCCAACCCTGTTCCTGGAGAGCCACCTTCCTGCAATTTGAGTTGCAACCCATATCAAACACACCTGCCTGTAATTACCACGTGGTGTTCAGGTCCTAATTAATTGGTTCAGGTGTGTTTGATATGGGTAGCAACTGAAATCTGTAGGATGGTGGCTCTCCAGGAACAGGGTTGGCCACCCCTGGTCTAGACTATTTAAATAACCTTAACATATTTTATTTCTGCTTAAACTTAATGCTTTTTCTTCAATAACTCCCAACTACTACAAATTCATTATTAACAATTTTTTTTTCAAAACTAGTGAATATGACAATGAACTGAATTCTTGTGGCAATTAACACAAAAGGAATACACCTATTGATTCAATGTTAAATTTAACCTGGAATATTCATCTGATAACACCCATAATTACAAACTAATCCAGTGTTTCTCAACCACGTTCCTGGTGGACCACCAGCTCTGCACATATTCCATGTCTCCTTAACCAAACACACCTGACTCAGATCATCAGCTCATTAGCAGAGACTGAAAGACCTGTACTGGGTGTGACAGACTGAAGAGATATCCAAAACATGTAGTCCTGGTAGTCCTTAAGGAACGTGGTTGAGCAATGCTGATCTAAATCAACACATTACCAAAAATTGTCATAATTTACTGAACTTCAGTAAGTAACGCATCTCATTCGATGTTAGTATAGACATAGATCCCTTATCCATTAAGACCAAATTTAAAAATTTACACCCAGACTTCATTAACATGAAAGTGCATGGATTAGAGTAGACTGATTAAACCCTATCTGTGATTAAAGCCTGTAGTCTGTCCTGCTCTACCTGTCCTCACTCTCAGCAGAGTCACTAGCTGCCTCTGTGGCTCCACTAGTGTTAGCTGTGTTAGCTGGAGGTTTGTAGTCCTGCAGTGGGGCAGACAGTTTCCTGGGAGGACAAGTTGATAGTCATGCTTTGACACACACAAACGCACAAAGAATGTACTCAAACAATCACACCGAACACATACCAGATTTAATCACCACTATTATGTAGTTAATTCAAACCCAGTAGGAGGTCGAGACAATATCAGCTCACTTAACATATTATAAGAGTATCTCCATTTTTTATGCGCTCACACAAACACACACACATACACATCAACAGCGATTTAAGACACACATTTGTGTTGAGAGTGGTGAAATAAGCCATGCAAATTAGTTTGTGTTTACAGAGACTAAACAGAATAAAGCACCAACTTAGGGCTTTTTCATTAAGTTTCACAGTAACTGCAATCATTTGATTCAGAATTTTAAGAGATGCATAGAAGCTTTGGTCATTAGATGAAGGCAATTCATTCTGTATTGTTTATTTTATGTTTATTTACTTTATTTACATATAGTTAGGTCCTTAAATATTTGGACATTGACACAATTCTATCATTTTTGGCTCTACACACCAACACAATGGCTTTAACTGCTGACTGTCAGCTTTAATTTAATAAATTTATTTTTTTTACATCTAAATCTGGTGAACGCTGTAGGAATTACAACAGTTTGCATAGGTGCCTCCCACTTGTTAAGGGTCCAAAAGTAATTGGACAGAATAATAATCAAAAATGAAACTTTCACTTTTTAATACTGGGTTGCAAATCTTTTGTAGTCAATCACAGCCTGAAGTCTGGAACGCATAGACATCAGCAGACGCTGGGTTTCATTCCTGGTGGTGCTCTGCCTTGTATCTACAGCAACTGCCTTCAATTCCTGCTTGTACTTTGGGCTTTTTCCCTTTAGTTATGTCTTTAGCAAGTGAAATACATGCTCAATCATATTTAAATCAGGTGATTGATTTGGCCATTGCAATACATTCCACTTCTTTCCCTTCATAAACTCTTTGGCTGCTATTGCAGTATGGTTTGGGTCACTCTCCATCTGCACTGTCAAGCGCTGTCCAATGGGCTTTGAAGCATTTGGATTAATATGAGCCGAAAATATTGCCTGAAACATTTCACAATTCATTCTGCTGCTTTTTTCAGCAGTCACATCATCAATAAATACAAAAGAACCAGTTCTTTTGACAGTCATGCCCACGCCACGCAACTACTACCACCATGCTTCACTGCTGAAGATCATGAGCAATTCCTTTGCTTCTCCATGCTCTTCTCTTCTTATCACTCTGGTACAAGTTAATCGTGGTCTAATCTGTCGATAGGATGTTGATCCAGAACTGTGAGGGCTTTTTTAGAACTCTAATTTGGCCTTCCTGTTTTTGAAATTCACCAATGGTATGCATCTTGTGGCGGACCCTCTGTTTTCACTCTGGTGTAGTCTTCTCTTGATTGTTAACTCTGACACACATAGACCTACCTCCTGGAGAGTGTTCTTGATCTGGCCAACAGTTGTGAAAGGTGTTTTCTTAACCAGAGAAAGAATTCTTCAGTCGTCCACCACGGATATTTCCATAGTCTTCGGGGTCTTTTGGTGTTGCTGAGCTCACTAATGCGTTGTTACTTTTTAAGAATGTTCTAAACAGTTGTTTTGGCCACACCCAATGTTTTTTTCTATCTCTCTGATGGGTTTGTTTTGTTTTTTCAGCCTAATAATGGCTTGCTTGACTGACAGTGACAGCTTTTTGTGACAGATTCAGATTTCAAATGCAATTAGCACACTTGAAACTCTGGACCTTTTCTCTGCTCAATGTAATTGGCATATTAAGGCAATAACACACATCTGGCCATGGAACAGCTTAAAAGCCAATTGTCCAACTACTATTGGACCCTTAACAAGTGGGAGGCACATATGCAAACTGTTGTAATTCTTACACCGTTCACTTGATTTGGATGTAAATACCTTCAAATTAAAGCTGACAGCAGTTAAAGTACATCTTGTTAGTTTAATTTCAAATCCATTGTATTGGTTTAAAGCAAAAAATGTTAGAATTGTGTGGATGTCCAAATATTTATGAATTACACTGTATATACAGTGTTGTGAAACTGACCTTTACTGATCTTGTATATATTTTTTGCATGTTTGTCAAATTTTAATGTTTCAGTCAATCATCATCAATCATATTAGTCAAAAATAACACAAGTAAACATCATGCAGTTTTTAAACAAAAAGGTTGGTTTATATAAACATAAAATCTAATCCTATAGTACATAACCTGGTGTGAAAAAGTTTTTGACTTTGGATGAAGACTTTGGAGTGGCCTAGTCAAAGTCCTGATTCTAATCCTATTGAAATGTTGTGTCATGAAAAAAGGCAGTTCATGCTCAGAAAAAACTAGAACATGTCTGAATTACAACAATTTTCCAAAGATGAGTATGCCAAAATTACTCCACAGCGATGTAACCGACTGATTGCAAGTTGTTGCTGCTAAGAATGGCCCAACCTGTTATTAGGTTTGGGGTGCAAACACTTTTTCACACAGGGCTATTTAATTTTGCATTTCACCCCATTAATACAGGGTATCTTCAGGTTTCATCAAGTGAAATTTAAGACTTTAAGACATTAAGACCATTATGTATGAAATTTTGGACTTATACAGGGCTAAATGCTAAGGATTTTTTTTTTTTTTCGAATATCCCACTTAGAAAAGATTTTCACTTGCGCTATCAATAAATAATTAAAATACATTCAATAATACAATAATAATCATTTTGTAAGAATTTTTTCTTTTTTATTAAATTTCAAATATATACATTTACAAACCCTATAACCCTTACCAACAATAGAACAAAACAAATCAATTACTTCAGTCTACAATAATAATTTAATAATAAAAAATGTAGGCCAAGTCAGTATTCTCAGCAGTAAATAAATGGAGAATTTTTAAGCAAATGTTACTGTAAGGAAAGTAATAAAATGCTATTTTTCATTATAAAGTTTTAATTAGATGAATTGTTGGTGATTGTATGGCCAGATCGGGTAGCTATACATGAACAAAGGAAAATTAAGACATGTTAAATAATAAAAATATTTAAGACCTACAACACAGCATTTCAGTAAATTTAAGACTTTTTGAGGCCTAAAATTTACCTTTTGACATTTAAGACATTTTAAGGCTTTAAGGCCCTGTGGATATCCTTTAATAGCAAAAGCCTTGATTGTGAGTATAAATTTGTTTGATGATCTGAAACATTATAGTGTGACAAACATGCAAATAAAAAAATAAAAAAATCAGTAAGGGGCAAACACTTCATTTCACACACTTAATTCACAAACTGTACTAAGATCTATTATCATGCTACTAGTAACGTTTTTTAGATATTAGTATTTTCTTCATTAAGTACAAATACTTATTTATTAGCTATTAGCGCACATTCTTTAGTTTCTACTACTTTTTGAAAATAAACAATTACTTACTCTTTACACTATAATAAAAAATGTTGAGTTGTATTAACCAAATGAAGGGTCAAATACAGACAAAACCAACAATAGGTTAATTATTTACATACAAATTAAATTACTTTTCTTTTAAACTGCTGGGTTTGTCCATATTTGACCCAGCATTGAGTTAAAAACCCCACATTTTCATAGGTATTACTATTTATTTAATAATTAAAGTATAATTGTAGATCTCTTTAAAAGTGAATGGCAAAACATAAATACAATGAAATTCAAATTATAACTAGTGTAGTAACAATAAAACCGTTACCATTCACTACTGAAATAAGTACTACTGTAGAATGGACTGATTAAAGTACTATCGTCTATTTAATAGATATTAATATAAAGGTATTAGAGTTTCTAATGATGAATTTAATTAGTGTATATTCAGTAGTTGCCAACACCTACATAAAGTACATAATAGTACATAATAGTACTACATAAATAGTACTAGTATCCAATAGGTTATCACTAGAACATAATGATAAAGTACCCATACATTGCAAAAAATATACTAGTGTATATAAAAGATGAGTACAAATAGCATGAAATATTATATTAGCATATTTTTTATATTGCCAAAATCACATCTTGCAGTAGAATACTTACATTATTATGTGATGATACTACAGTATGTAAGAGAATATTGATGTAGTACTACTGGATAGTACACAATGACCACTACATTTAAACACATGCTGTTGTTACTACTCCATTTTTCTAAGTCTACACTGTGGTTTAGGGAAGAAAGAATGTGTACTATACCTGTTTAGAGTGGGGATGTTCCCTCTGCAATCAAACAACATTGATTACTGATTGGTTAGTGTCAGGCATCAATGGGTAGGCTCAGTCACATGTGAAGTGTGTGGTCTTTTCACATAATAGAAAGCTCCAATCTGATTTCAGCGCACTTGAATTGTACAATGACCTCTAATGAGTCCTTAGTGATTGTTTGGATGTGGTCACTAAATAAGACTGCTAAACGGACTGGTTTTGTTAATTGAAGAGTAAATCAAATGCATGTCATGATCACGTCACTCCAAAATCAAACTGAAGAAATAATAAATTATATTTTGCTTAATGATAAATGAGGGCTGTTTTAGGAATTTGTTTTAACAAGTTATCATGTTTATATCAGAGTAATCAAACACATTTTCCCTTCTTTTACGGTATTATTCACTCATTCATTTTCCTTTGGCTTAGTCCCTTTATTCATTACGGGTCGCTACAGGGAAATGAACCACCAACTTATCCAGCATATGTTTTACACAGCAGATGCCCTTCCAGCAGCAATCCATTGCTGGGAAACACCCATACACTCACATTTACACACATACACTAGAGCCAATTTGGTTTATTCTATTCACCTGTCTTTGGACTATGGGGGAAACCCGAGCAACCTGAGGAAACCCATGCGAACACTGGGAGAACATGCATCCACTCTGAAATGCCAACTGACCCAGCAGAGACTTGAATCAGCAACCTTCTTGCTGCACGTCTCCAGAATAATGCAAATGTGCAATAAACTCATTGGAAGGTGATATTAATTAAAAATGTATTAAATAAATTTAAAAAGTTCATTTTAATCTGTTTAAAAAAAAAAGAGGTGTAATAAATAAAAACAAGATAAATTAGATTTCTCAAATTATTAAAGTTATTCTGAACTTTACATTCATCAAGAAATTCTGAAAATAAAACTGATAAAAAATTGTTTGAGGTTTTCATTTGTTGTGTTAAACATTATCAACTGATATTGTTTCATAATTATTGGTAAACTGTAAATAATTGATATTGATTATATATATACAAACATCATGACTTTTTAATTTTTAAAGTTTTTGAATGCATTAACAGTGCTAAGCATATACAAGTACACCCCTTACAAATCTCTCATTTAAATAATTTTTTTCTATAAGATGCTTTACAATATTATATTTATCCATATAAATTAGTTAACTTACAATAATGGTTCAAAAATTAGTAGCACAAATTTAAAAGTTAGAGAAAATATTAAATAACATTTTCAAAAAAAGCAAAAATCAAGAGAAACAACAATTTTATACAATTTTGTTGAATGTTGTAGTTTGTATTTTCTGCAATATTTTGCATGAATTAAAATTTATTATCTTTGTTCTTACTATCTATGTTCTGTGACTAAAATAGTATTTTAATAAATATATCTGTTTAACAAATCTTTTTTTGTTTAAATGCATCAAAATACATTGCCTGTATTCACTTAGAAATAACTAAAAATAAAATTCTAAATGGGGTAAACTTGGTTATGCTTATCACTGTATATTTGCATCGCAGGTGTCAAACTCAAGTTTCCTGGGGGCCTTTAATCAAACACAGTTGATTATACTAATTGAGTCCCTCAGGTTTGTTTGTAACCTACAGGCAGCCCTTCAAGAACGAAGTTTGACACCCTTGATTTAAATCATTTGCTGCCATCTAGTGCTCAGTTCATTTTAGTACACCAATATTTTAGCAACACTGTAAGTAAATACTTATATTTGCGTTCATTTTATGTTACATTTTGTAAATAAATATTGCTTTACTGCCCAACATATTAACATGTGCATTTCTCTGTTAAATATAATTTATATACATGCTTTTTCATTTGATTTCAGAGGTTAAAACTGTGATATACAGCACAATTTGAATCTAAACCAAGCCACACACTTGACATATGACGGCCCTCCCTCACATGCAACAATTTCATTTTTGAAACACTGCAGCTAGAACCATTCAAGTACAAAGTACTAAGCCGTTCCTTTCAATCTAAATGACAGGCAAAGCAGCAATGACAGCTGGAAAAGCAGATACTGGAAGTTTTTAATGTGATAAATGCACAAATAGGAAAAGGCAGAAACATAACATGCATAAAAGAAAGCTACACTACATCAGTTCACAAGCATGAATCAGCAGAGAATGAAAAAGAAAGGAAGCTAGTATAGATCCAGCCAATTAGCATGTCCTCTATTGTTGGCATTCTTTGGTTTTAACAGATCGGTGTCACCTGAAACACACGGATGCGGCCAGTACAGATGAGAGACACCTTAAAGACGAACTTTTGGCCCTGTGATTCAGACCCTGTGTCACTACTATAAAATGTTTCTACTCCTACTTCATACAAACCTCCTGATCACAGCAGACACTAAAACAGTGGCACAGACTGTACACAAGTAGAGCATTTTAAGGGTGAAAGGGGATGTGGATTGTGGGACAGTGGAGGAGCAATTAAATAATAATTCTCATTAAAAATATCAGAAACAACAGAGCCTAAAATTTAATTACTCGCTTTGTTTAAAAACAATCTGCCATTTTGAACTCAATTCAATGAATCACTTACTGAGACTTTGTGTCAAATGTATGCGTCCTGCATCCATGAAAGGCCTGAACCAGCCAGTTTCTCAAAATGTTTGTTTGCGGTGTTCTTATATAGTGAAAAGATAGATGCTCATCCATTACATGGTTTTGAGTTGGAGTATAGCCCTATTATTAACCAAAAAAGTCTGTGACATTCCTAGATACACAGTAAATTTCTTTAAAACTAAATTTATTCAACACTTTTGTCTGCACCAAGGAAAATGACTACATTCGCCCCTGTCTTACACAGTGTTTCATCTCCTCCAAAGTCCCAGCAAGGGAATGGCAAAAATGGTGAAAAGCAGGATAATGGGACATGGTGAGGTACCTGTTGGGGTGGGATGTGGGCAGCATGAACTGGAACTCCACGATGCAGGTGTTGTCCTTCAGCTGACGGTGCTGGACGCTGTTGAGTTCATAAGCGATGTAAGCTCTACGAACATACACCTAAGGGAAGAGAATGAGCAGCAGAATGTTTATTGTATGAAGACAACCCCAAGCACTCCATTTCCTGAATAAATAGATAAAAAATGGCGCAGTCTCACCTCGAGAGCAGCCATCCGTACCACCTGATTACTATGGTAAAAGAAATTTGGCAGCACATCAAAGATGGATGTTTCTGACAGGATCAGTTTCTAGGAAAGGGAAGCAAAGTTTCAATAATTCCATAATGTTCTAGAGCAAAATAGTACAAAAAAAAATGTTGAAGTGCTCTAGGCCAGTGTTTCTCAACCACGTTCCTGGAGGACCACAAGCTACGCACATATCCAAACACATTTATTAACCAAACACACCTGATTCAGATCATCGGCCATTAGCAGAGACTTTCAGATTTGTAATAGGTGTGACAAAGGAGACATCCAAAACATGGAGTGTTGGTGGTCCTTAGGAAACATGGTTGAGAAAAACTGCTCTAGGCCAATAGATTGATCAAATGAAATTGCAGTTATATACTAGCATTGTAATATTGGGATTAGTAATTATGATTAATGTTTTTTAAGTCACTTATTTTCAACATGGCTGTATATAAAAAATCTATTAAAAGCAGTTATATGGAATAAAAGGAGTAATACTGAATAACAGTTTTTCATTTTAAAATACTTTAAAATTTCATTTTTCCTGAGTCATTGTTAACATTTCAGCAGCCATTAAATTGGTGTTTAGTGTTATGTTTCATCAGAAATGCTTTTTTTTTTTAAATGATGCTTTTTTGATGTTTTAACGTTGTGAAGGAACTTTAACTGTGTAAAATGTTTCCTTATTTTCATTCATTAAAAAAATATATAATAATGAACATCATAATAAATCCTACTGCAGATTCAACAACAGTTTAACATCAATTTGTTAATCTAATTCATGATCTAAAGCCAAAATATATACATCAATTATTATTATTGCAAATTTTAATAAATTAGTACATTATTAATACATTTTATATGATTTGTAATGTGTTTAATGTATATATTTCTAAAGGTCCCACACAAGATGCGCCGCACCATGAATTGGTAGTAACTATGCATATGGCGTTCTGTGGCTCAGCAGAAATATGAACTGTCATAAGTCTTATCTGGGCTCTGTGGACAGCCAACAACTTGCAGTGCCAGTTTGCATACACTGATAGCAACCTATGGGACAACATGAAGGAGTTGTGTGGAAGCCAACGTTTTTACAGTGTACCTGCAGGTTCTCAATGCAGAACTGGTGTCCATACATGTCGATGGCAGACAGGAAAATGGATTCCACCTGATTGTGTCGCAGCTCATATGAGGGAAGGTGAGAAGCGATGAGAACCTGCCGTGCCCGCAATGCCACCTTGGCATTGGTGGTCTTGCTGAGCTGTGTGAGCTCTGTGAGTATGGCCATCAGCTCGTCCGTCAGGGTCGGGTCTCGCCCACATAGCTGATCCTATAAAGAGAAGTCAGACACATACAGTTGAATTCAAAATTATTTGACATCCTGTGATTTTTTTTTTTTTAGCAAAAAATTAACATTATTTCCTATAATGTTTCTTCTTCTGGAGAAAGTCTTATTTGTTTTATTTCGGCTAGAATAAAAGCTGCTTTTAATTTTTTTAAAACTATTTTTAAGGTCAAAATTATTAGCCCCCTAAGCAATGCAATTTTCTATTGCCTACAGAACAAACCATTGTTATACAATGACTTGCCTGATTACCCTAACCTGCCTAGTTAACCTAATTAAGCCTTTAAAATGTTACTTTAAGCTGAATACTAGTATCTTGAAAAATATCTAGTAAAATCTTATGTACTGCCATTATGGCAAAGATAAAAGAAATCAGGCCTTAAAACTATTAAGGGAAACTAAAACTATTATTAAAATTACAACAGAAATCAGTCCAATGCACTCAAAAATGTAGAAAAATTAAAAAAGCCTCTATTCACGTGGCTAAACCTTAAAAAAACCTACGCGTTTCGGCAAGGAACTGCCTTCATCGGGGTAACGGTGATCAGGTGCATTCAGTCTCTTGAGTACTACGGTCACATGACTCATTTAAATATCTCAATATCACTCAAATATTATAACAAACAGGGTTAGCTATCATCATTAATTCAGCATAGATAGTGGCACATATACATACAATGACATACACTAGCTTATATATATTAAAAATATATAGAACTAATAAGCAAATATGTACAGATAAATATGCCTAAACATGGCATGTACATACATATACAGTACACCCCTTCGAACACACATATAAACATGTACACATATACATAATGTATATAATATATATATATATATATATATATATATATATATATATATATATATATATATATATATATATATATATAATATTATATATATATATATATAATATATATAATAAATATGCATATATAAACACATACATATTTAACAATATATGATGATAATCTGTAAACTATCTATAGAAAAACTCTTTTACAAAATAGAAGAAAAATCTAATTCGCCTAATAAAATCTAAGAAAAATCTTTTTTTTAGTATTATAATAAAAGTTACTTCTGAAATGTGTTGAAATAAAATCTTCTTTCCGTTAAACAGAAATTGGGGAAAAATATACAGAAGGGCTAATAATTTAGACTTCAACAGTATAGTTTAATAAATGTGTTATTTTATCATCTTGCTATGTCTACAAGAATTCCTGAATGATAAAAAAACGAATAAGTATACTCACAATCAGCATGGTGACCAGACAGTTCTTCTTTGTGACTTGAGCATGAGAGAATATGTAGTTGAGCACATTGGCCATGTCTACTTTGTTTTCCTCTCGTAGTGCAAATACACACTTGTCATAGTGACCTGGCAATAACATAAACAAACAGATAAATTGTAAATTGATTCATTTAAACAAGTTAATAGAATAAGAAGAATTAATACAATGGAATGCATAGAAAAAAAAGCTAATTTATTTAATATTTTATTTAAAGACCTGAAGTTACTTTAAAAATAACAATCATCCTGAATATAATGCATAAGGTATTAACTGACCAATAAGATTAATTTACCGATGTGTTTAACAGTGGGGTTAGAGAAAGGCAGATAAAATACAGACAAAGTGAAACCTGATCTAGTTTTATACACCTTTCTATTAAAGTAAGTATTTTGATTTAGCTTTTTGATTTGAATATTTTTTTTTTTGCAATCATGGTCAGCTTCGATTACAATTTAGTAGTTCAATTTATCCACATTAGCTGCTAAGACAAAATTTGTAATGTTTGTCTATTTTTATACATCTGACACTTATATCAGAGTTTATTTTATGTCTTTAGTTAAAAAAATTCAAATGTTCGAATTTCAAGTAGTAAATACCTGCTTGACATTACTGCCTGCCGCACCTCCTCCAGTGCACCTTTGGGTCAGCTGCAGGGTCGTCAGTTGGTACCACCGCTTTATTTCAAATCAACTCAAACTACTTTTATAGTTTAATCTAATATTTACAATTTATTTAAACATCATTTTAAATCATTGAAATGAATTTAACACTTTTAAGTATAATTTCTGATTGTTTCAGTTTAATTTAAATAATATTAGATTAAAATTATCAACACTAGGAATTATCAGAACAAATAAAACATTTATTGAAATAAAATATTTTGAGACTTTTTTAAAAATCTAGTAGGGGTTGCAATTATATACCATGTGTTTTCTAGCTTTTGCCATTTTGAACTTTTGTGCTCATATTTTTATATGAAAATGTCTAATGCTTGTTTTATTTAATTTTTTTGTGGAAAATCTTTCAATGTTTTCCTTCTGTTATTATAAATTCTATATTTGAACATTTAACTAAATATTTACATTTACTCCGGGTTGGATCTATGATATTACACTGCCATCCTGTGGTCAAATGGTGAAATAAGGCAACATCCTAAATTTCCAGCAATTTCTTAATGTTTATGACTATAAAAGACAAAGTGCTTGCTGCATACCATGCTGAAACTGAACCTCCACTCTCAAATACTGCCTGAGGAGATCCATCACCACTGCTTTCATATGTCCTCTGATGCCACTGCGGTACCTGAATGCACAAATATCAAGGCCAGATAATTTAGTGTGTTTATTTGTCATTATTTGCACATACAAAAAGAAGAGAAACCACTTGAAATTTTTAGGTTTGCCTGGATACACTATATTTATTAGGTAGGTTTCCATAAATATTGTCTATAGGAGATTTATTTCCAGATGAATGACAGAATGATATATAATAAACAGTGCATCCGGAAAGTATTCATAGCGCTTCACTTTTTCTACTTTTTTTATGTTACAGCCTTCCTAAAATGATTGCAATTTTTTTTTTCCTCAAAACACGCGATACCCCATAATGACAATGTGATAAAATATTTTTTGAAATTGTGAATTTCATTAAAAAAAAAAAATGTACATAAGTATTCACAGGCTTTGCTCAATATTTAATTGATGCACCTTTGGCAGTAATTACAGCCTCAAGTATTTTTAAATATGATGCCACAAACTTGGCACACCTGTCTTTGGGACATTTTGCCCATTCCTCTGTGCAGTACCTCTCGAACTCTATCAGGTTGGATGGAAAGCGATGGTGTACAGCCATTTATAGATCTCTCCAGAGATGTTCAATAGGATTTAGGTCTGGACTCTCTGGCTGGGCCACTCAGGGAAATTCATTGAGTTGTTGTAAAGCCACTTAATTGATATTTTGGAGCTGTGCTTTGGGTCACTGTCCTGCTGAAAGATGAACCTTGTGGTGCCAGGTTTTCTTTAAACGTAACGCCTGGCATTCACTCCTAAGAGATCAATTTTAGTCTCACCAGACCAGAGAATTCTGTTTTTTATGGTCTAAGAGTCCTTCAGATGACTTTTGGCAAATTCCATGTGGGAAGTGGGTTCTATCTGGCCACTCTACCATACAGGCCTGATTGGTGGATTGTTGCACAGTTGGTTGTCCTTCTGTAAGGTTCTCCTCCCTCCACAGAAGAAAGCTAAAGTTCAAACCGAGTGACCGTCGAGTTATTGAACACCTTTCTGACTAAGGCCCTTTTTCCCTGATTACTCAGCTTATATGGCCGGCCAGCTCTAGGAAGAGTCATGGTGCTTCCAAACAATTTCCATTTATGGATGATGGAGGCCACTGTGCTCATTGGAACTTTCAGAGCAGCAGAAAATTTTTGTAACCTTCCCCAGCCCTCCTCAATCCTGTCTCGAGGGTCTACAGATGATTCCTTTGTCTTCATGCTTGGTTTGTGCTTTGACATGCACTGTCAACCCTGGGACCTTATATAAACAAGTGTGTGCCATTAAAATCATGTCCAATCAACTGAACTGACCACAGGTGAACTCCAATGAAGCTGCTGAAGCATCTCAAGAATGATCAGTGGAGACAGAATGTACCGGAGATCCATTTAGAACAGGGGTCACCAATCTCGGTCCTTGAGGGCCGGTGTCCCTGAAGGGTTTATCTCCAACTTGCCTCAACACACCTGCCTGTGTGTTTCTAGTTTTCCTAGTAAGTCCTTGATTATCTAGTTTAGGTGTGTTTGATTAGGGTTGGAGCTAAAAATCTGCAGGACACCGACCCTCCGGGAGCAAGTTTGGTGATCCTTGATTTAGAGCTTCACAGCAAAGGCTCTGAAAACTGATGTACATGCGATTTTTCAGGTTCTTTATTTTTAATAAATTTGTAACAATTTCAAAAAACTGTTTTTCACATTGTCATTATTGGGTATTGTATGTAGAATTTTGAAAAAAAATAAATAAATTGAATCAATTTTGGAATAAGGCTGTAACACAAAATTGTGGAAAAAGTGAAGCTTTCCAGATACACTGTATGGTCAAAATATTATATTTATTATTATTATTATTATTATTATTATTATTATTATTATTTGTAGTGATTGATATGAAATCAGTGTTATTACAACTGATATCAACTTCTTAACACTTCTGAAGTTTGTTTAAATATAAATATATGAAATGTATGAAACACATGAAAAAGTGGCACCTTTTTATTATTACTTTTCTTAAATGCTCTAAATTGACAATATTTTTATTTAAAATGTGAAAAAAATGTCATTAAGATTATAGTAAAACAAGAAAAAAAGTATATGTATATATACACACACACTCAAACATGACTAAAAATAGAAATATTCAGTATTTTGTTTTCATAGCTGTGCATATGTAGGTTGTTTAAATGAATAAATAAATGAATGAATGAACTAACTTCTGAACCAGCTGTACGATGCTCTGTGTGTTCATGAAGAAGACCTCTCTCTCTGACTTCCTGTTCAGCGTGGCAGCATGACTGTCCAGTATATTGGCAATCTGATATGGGAATACAACAGCATTTACAAGCAACAGCCACAGACTGAAAACTTTAGATAATCAGGAACTCTCTTTAAGCTGACCTGCTGGCTGGGAAACTGGCAGAGGACAGAGGTGATGTTGCTGGCATACTGAGCCATTTCTTTTTTGATGGCCTTCTCCACCGCAGGAGGGATTCGGCCTGAAACACTGGTCATGATGTCCTGAAGCTCCAGCAGGGGTAGGGAGGGGTCCCTTAGAGTCTTCATAAGACGCTCCACCCATTCTTTCAGCTAAAACACACATAAAATCTTAATACTTATTCATACCAAATCTGGCATGACAAGGGAACCAGTCAAAAGTGAATGACAAAGCAGATCTTCTATCATCTTGAATATTACAGATATAAGTCTTTACTGTCATTGTAGGGATTTTTGTGTTTTGTTTTGCCCCTTTGTCTTTACTGTTCTACACTGCTGCTAGGTTAAATTATACAAAAATAAATAAATAAATAAATAAATAAAATGAATATTTTTTAATTATGTAAAAAATATATAAATAAACAAATATAAATAAACAAATAAAAATAAAATAAATAAACAAAATAAATAATTATATTTTAATTATAAAATAAAAATAAAAAAAATAAAAAATACAAATAAAATAAATAAATAAAAAATAAGTGAATAAACAAAATAAAAAAGGAAAATAAAAAAATTACTCAAATAAATAAACGAAAATACAAATAAATACAAATAAATCACAGTCTTCCCTCACTATATTGTGGTTCATCTTTCGCTGCCTTGCAGTTTTGCAGATTTTTTTTTTTTTTTTGCAATTTAACATGCTTTTTTTTGTTTTTTACATAACCAAATTTACATAAACCTTTGATCACTAGCTGTGTGACTCTGAAACGTTCTGTACAGACAAAGGCACATGCGCTAGCACCCAAAAGGCAGAGAAAGATGTTAACCATCAGACAAAAAGTTGGACTTCTAGACATGCTAAAGAAAGGTAGAAGATACGCAGGTGTAGGGCCCCATTACGGAATAAATGAACATTTGGTTTGTTACATAAAGAGGGAAGAAAATAACATAAGTGTTTAAACAACAGAGAAAAGTGTGAAAATGTTAATGCCTGTCTGGGAAAAGTGTACAAAGTGTTTAGTGAGGGCTTTTACAGCCTTAAAACATCTATAATAATTGTAAAAAATAAAGCTAACTACTTCGCAGATTTTGCCAATTAAGGGTTATTTTTAAAGCTCCTGTGATTAAAGAGGGACCATTAATAAATAAAATAAATTAAAAAAATAAAAAAGTAATACAAATAAATAAAAAATAAAATAAATAAATGAACAAATAAAAACAAGTGAATAAAATAAAAAACAGACAGAGAGATAGATAGAGATTATCAATTTACATTTTTTCCACCTGCCCTACCTTGGCACTGAAGAAAGGCTCTGGCAGACAGTAGCCGTTCATAATGTGCACTAAGTGACCCAGAGTGCTGTGGAAGACTCTGTGAAGCTTCTCTCCCCTGAGAGCCACAGACTGAATGCTGGGTAAAGTTCCTGTATACAACTCCGCCTAAAACAAACAAAAAAAAACACACTCATTTCAAACGCTAAACCATACAAAAGGTCTATGATTTTTAAGGGGAAAATCAACTGCTCATAGATACACATGACACACTGAATGTACCTGCTGTACTCTGCTGGGGTCATCTAGCTGCAGTTTGCCAATGATGCAACCTGGCTCCAGCACTGCACCTGCTCTCTTCACATAGTGAATACAGCCAGACTCTGAGGCCGTCAGAGTCATCACCATCTTCATCACCTAAAAGAGGCATACATAAAGCAAACCATTAAAAAAAAACGTTTTGTACATGCACAAGTATCTCTGAGGTCTCATTTGCATATCGACACAATTCTCATCACACTAAAAAGTTCATATCATAAACAAAAACTAAATCTATCAAAAATATATTTTTGCTAACTGAAATAAAGAATAAACTACATAATATATATATATATATATATATATATATATATATATATATATATATATATATATATATATATAAAAAGCATTTATAGAGTTGCGAAAAACCTGTTTCTATTTAGGGAAATATTATCAGATTGGGTTTTCTACATCTTGTCTATATATAGACATAAAACTCTATGATTTTCTTCATTTATAAAAAAATGTAAACTATGAATGTTTATATACTGACCTGCACAAATTACAATTTTGAAAATAAATATCTTTATTTATAACTTTTAAGAACCAACATGAACACACGTTTGCTCATTCTGATTAACTTAAAACATCAGGCCTGCTCTAGCCAAAGACAATCACTACAACTATCAAATAAAGATTTAAAATTTATTAACAAGTTTAACGAACAGCGAAGTCCACAAAAAGTCCACAAAACAAAAACAAGACCATTGTTGTTATCGCATTGTTGTTGACAACAACAATAATGACACAGAGAAACAATATCATTGGAATCACTTTTTAAATTTTTGCTAGCTGATAAACAACAAAAACAATCATTATGTATTTAAGCAGCACTTACGATAAACTATTTGTTTATATGGAATGTTAATATAATTATAGCTAAATCAATTTTTACTTTTTACATTATTCCTGACATTTAATGTCTTTGCCAAAATGTCTGTTACATCACTAATATAGCTAATGCTCACTTTGTCAATCTGAAAAGTGATTAAAGCTGCCTTTCAAACCTCTATCTCTGCATAACATTGTCCAGCAAACACATGTCCTCCATCCTCCACTGTATACTGGATGAGTTTCCCAGCAGAAGGAGAGCGAAGGACTGAAGGGTCGTTCTCCTTTTCAAACACACACGTCTTATTCCCGATAATGATGCGATACCTAGAGAATGAAATAAAACACACTCAAATGATTTCTAACAAATACGTGTTTTAGCATTATTCCCTTATTGCAGTCTCTTAAATGAATTAGGATTAATTTCATTTTAAGTTTAATTATTTATAATATAGAAAATGTTTTATTATTTAAGGGTGTAAAAAATAATGTTAATTTATTCATGACCTTAATAATTGATGTTTCTTGTTTAATTTAGCAAACAGAGCATCAGAAATGAAAAACTGATTTATAATGGCTGAAAGCAGGGCCGTATTAAGAACACACTGGGCCCTGGGGCTATAACAAATCCAAGGGCCCCCCCTTTATATATATATATATATATATATATATATATATATATATATATATATATATATATATATATATATATATATGACAATATGTCCCTGTATCCTCTATCCCGTAATTCCACCCAGACTCCTACCTGTCTACCTCCTCCTTCATGTAGGTGGTGTAGCTGCTGCCATCATACGAGAGCAACATACCACCGTCACTCAAGCGATGAACATCCACCTCTACCGAAGAGCAATTCATGATGACCACATAAGAGTTAGGAGACTGCCTGGTCACCTTCAGCACATACTTGGTGCCTTCGTAGATAAGCTCCACATCCACCGTGTTCAGCAGCGTGTGTGCTGGTAAAACCTGCCCTCTACAGACATACAGAACACAGAAAAAGGGTGAGAATCTCCTTACAATACAAACAATGCACCAAGTGCACACTCAAACATATGCTGATTAGAGCTAGGTGGGTGATACTGAATTATCTTCGATCCATTTTTATTTTGATAAACTAATATTGATTGCTATAATTTATAAAATGTTCTATTAGTCCTAAATGTTTTTTTATAGTTCAGTACGAATTAAAAAAAATAATTATATGCAGATTTGAAAAACATTTATTATTATTATTATTATTATTATTATTATTAATTAACTGTTAATTCATTTTGTTTTGGATTATTTGATGAATAGAAAAATCCAAAAGATTAATTAAAGCTGATAAAATTAATTTAGGAAGCTTTTGAAACATTGAACGATTCAGCATCCTTTCCCCTTTATTAATGAAGACAATATAAAAAAAAAAATTATACTTTTCTCTGGCAAGGATGCTTTAAACTGATCGAAAGTGATTATACTGACATTTATTACATCACAAAATAGTTTTATTTAAGATAAATGTGTTTTTTCAAAATAAATATTCATTCATCGAAGAAAACAAACAATAATAATAATAAAAAAAATTTTTTGCAGTAAATCTGAATATTATAGTGTATTCTGAAAGATTTTGTTACTGGAGTATTAATTCTAAAAATTCAGCTTTGAAAGCACAGGAAAGAATTAGATTTTTAAATATATTTAAAAAGACATCAGTTTTTTTTAAGTTAAAATATAATCACTTTTTACTGTTTTTGCTGTATTTTTAGATTAAATAAATGAAGGCTTAGGGAGTCTTCTTTAAAAACATTACTGTTCTAAAACTTAAAACAGCAGTGTGTCAAAATAAAATAAAATTATATTAAAATAAATTAATTAGAATAAATTAAATCAAATTAAAATAAATTAAAAGACATTAAAAGAAATTATATTAAAAAAGTTTCTAAAAAGAAATTAAATTAAAAGACAATAAAAGAAATTAAATTAAAAGACATTAAAAGAAATTAAATAAAATAATTTAAAGAAACTAAATTAAAAGACATTAAAATAAATTACATTTAATTAAAAGAAAAAAAAAATAAATTAAATTAAAAGATATAAAATTCTATTCAATTATAATAAATGAAACAAAATTAAAAGAAATTTAGTCAAATGAAATTAAAATGAAATGAAACTAAATTTAATTTAATTTAATTATTGAATTTAATTATCATGCTCTCGAAATCTGTTAAATGATTTGTAACCTCTCCAGTGAGTGCAGGAAGTTGGACACACTGTTCCTGAAGTTAACATCAGCCACATGCAGAGCTCCACTTACTACCCCCAGCATAGTATCAGGACGCTCTGCCTACACACACACACACAGACAAAACCACATAGACAGTTAAAGACATTGGAAGTCATAAGCCATTAATTGGTGATTTAAATGATGTGCCCAAATGGTGTGTACATGAGTGTCAGATAGGCAGTGTCATAAGAGGCAGTTTCACACACCTGCATCTTCTCAGAGATGAGCCTGTCCAGCCATCCTGTGTCAATGCTGTTGTGCTGGAAACTCTCCGTTTCAAGCAGCTTTATGAGATACTCCACTGTAGTCCTGAAGTCTCCTCTGATGGACAGCTCCTTGAGGGCCACCACCATGTTTCTGAGATGACACAGCCAAGAAAATCCTTAATACATCTCTCTATGCTTTTTCTTATTGAATACATACAGAATCCAGAACCAGCTTTGCATTTAAAGGCGCAGGCTATAAAAAACAGCTACACTTTTCTCTAACTACAAAATTGACAATCAGCAGTGTATATTAAATGATCTGATGGGTATTTAGAGCTGAAATTTTACAGCTACTTTCTGGAGAATTTTTATCTAACATTTTGTAAAAGGTAAAATAGGAGCATTTTAGCATTTATTAAAATGATAAAAATTCAAAGAAAAGATTTCAATGTTTAACCACTTAAACTCTGCGGACCCGGTACCAGGTCCGTGACATCATCGACTTTCGCTTTCAGATTTAAAGGGCTAGCATTGCACCAGACCCTCGTAAGTGGTTTCGTTTGAAAGTGTAGAATCTATATTTTATGCACATATGCATCACTTTGGTATTCCACTGTATAAAAGTTATTTACACTTAAATACACAGTATTTTGGATACCCAAGCTGGGTATTTTACATTGGTTGATTTTCATTTTTTTTTTTAATGACACATGTACAAGTTATAGCTCAAATGAAAGCTCTTGCCAGTGCTCATACAGTTCTAGCATTCTTTTTACAGAATTATATTCATATGCCAAACAGTTGTTGAATGAATTGTGGTGTTTCCAGTGTTTTATGAAAATTCAAAGGGTTTTCTTTAAAATGATGCCAAATTTTTGCATTTACACCTCTTTATGTGGATTTGGGAAGCTTTTTAAATTTGGGTCGGCAAAATCCAGGCGGAAATCCCCAAATAGCAGCAGAGTTTAAGTAGTTAAAGTTAACTTCTGCACATCTCAAAAATGAAGATGCTTATGACTGGAAGTACTCACGAGATGGCTTCCTCACGGTTCTCTCCCCAGGAGAAGCAGTGGCCAAACTGAGAGTCTGCAAACTCATGCAGTCCTCCAGCTGCCGCCACGCTGAAGTAGCCCCACACATTCTTGTTACTGCGGAAATTTAATTCCTGGACAGTTCCAGAGCTGGGTTTAAAACCCTGACACACACAAAAAAAAGACAACACAATTAATGCATCGATAGAACCCTATTGCATGGTATGTATTTTAAATTACTTTATAATATTTACACATTTTGATGTCAGTAAGGTTTCAGAAAATTATAAAATAGTATTGGGATTTTTTAAAAAGATTTCAATATAAATGTTAAATTTACTGTTGATTTACTGATGATTTATTTAATACAACTACATTTTACAGCAACCAGTGTTACATGATAATTGAAATCATTCTAATATTTAGTGAAGTAAAATATCCCATTACTTACTAATTGTTATTACTGTACACAACTGGCAGTGAGCAGTTCATATATTTCTGAAATGGAAATATTAATTCTCAAACGCTGAGATTTATTCTTTTCAAGTAGGTTTCGCTGCAGCCTGGAGACCTCCAAGCAGGAGGGATTTTACCGCAAGTAGGTTGGATGACCTCCAAGTGGGGAGGACTTAAAGGATTAGGGTTGAGTAGGTTTGGGCGATGTCGATCATTGTTGTAGGCAGCGGTGAATTTATTATTTATGAATAATTAATTAATTAATTCATAATGAATTAATTATTTGTAGCCTGCCTCATTTCAATTACCTGACCCCTATAGTCTTTGTTTTAACCATCACCAAATCATAAATATATATATATATATATATATATATATATATATATATATATATATATATATATATATATATATATATATATATATATATATATATATACATACATAGAGAGAGATAGAGAGAGAGAGAGAGATAGAGAGAGAGAGAGAGAGAGAGAGAGAGAGAGAGAGAGAGAGAGAGCGAGAGAGAGAGAGAGAGAGAAAAGTTATACACAAATTTTCACCTGTCAATCACTTTTTCCGGAGGACTCCTCTGGAATGAATAGGCAGAGTGATCTGCGTCATTATAATTGTGTCGACAAACTTGGTTGGTAAAAAAAGGTTCTCAATCAACAGGAACCAACCCACAGTATATCCGAGGTTTTTACTAAAATTACTAAACGTGATAGCTAAAGATTGAAGCAGTGTACTGACGCTGACCGAAGAGTCGTTAGATAGAGACAAGATGAATTAAATATCACGTTTAACAACTATGAGACACGATCCATATTTGTTGTTTGTTGTCATGTGATTTATGTTTAGTGTGGAACGAGGACTTTTCAGAAATGCCAGTGTGGATCGTTTTTGTTCTAAAATACCATTTTAAAACAAAGATTTATTAGTGCAAATGGGGCCTAAGTGTGTATTTTTCATGAGTTGGTTGCTGTTGTGATGAGGGCAGGGCAGAGGATAGTGATGCCAGCTCAGTATCGTGATGTTTATCGGCCAACGTCTATCCACTTAACCCTAGGGTTGAGGTAGGTGTAGAGGTTAATAAAACGCAACAGGTTACTGTGAGGTTAGGTTTGGGGTTGGGGCAGGTGTAAACATTCATAAAGCACAATATTGGACTCGCGTGAATATTGTGTCACGTACGAGACATTAAATTAATAAAAACTCCAGGTTTATGGCCCACTTGGAGCTGACTTTTTTTAATGTGTGCAGCAAACAACATTTTTATATAGTCTAGTCTCTATTACAATTAGTCTAATAGTATTAGAAATAACACTTTTTTTTATTCTCCATTTGTAAATTGATGTCAACTTTACATTTCGAAAACATCAACGCCATTTTAATTAAATTTACATAAACTAAAGCAAAACATTTAGTCATGTGAATGAGCATTTAAAAAGAAAACCATCCAAATAGATAAAGGCCTTAGTTGTCTTATTTACCCAAGTTACATGGTTTCAGTATTCTCTGATGATTAAAAAATAGCACTTATTTGGGCAACTATGTACCCAGACGAAAGCAAGCGTTTGTCAAAACATGTAAGTGCAGTTTTATAGCCATGTCAATAAAGTCTTTTTAATATTTTTTCTACATTTTTCAAGCGCCTTGGACTTACCTTTGCTTGCAATTCTGATAAATCTCTTACCCAATGAGCACCGACACATTAGTTAAGCTACCCTTGAACACTTTTTGTTTGATTACGTAGTCATTTTTGTTTAATATTTCTTTTATGGAAAAAAAAAACATCATGTTATATTGCATTACACTACTTGCTGAAATTGTTTGATAATTTTGACCTTTTAATTATTAGAATGAAACATGAGACATTTTATTGCTTACTTTACAACCTCCTGGTTATCCCCTTCGAATGCGCAATCATGATTGAGACCAGAAGTGACTACATATTTACACTGCGACCCTTAAAATATCAGTCAAACTCACACACCTCATCTGGGTTCTCACTGGTAATTCGAGCTGCGATGACGTGTCCTCGTGGACAGGGGGTGGTAGAGAGTCCATCAAAGTCAATGGGGGAATCTCCCCATGGCTGCATCCCATACAGCACTCTGATGTCTTTAATACGGTGAAGTGGGATGCCCATAGCGATCTGAAAATCCAAATATTAAACCATCACACACAGACAAACATCTAAAGACATAATTACTGCATTTCACAAACTTAAAAATGTGATAATCCCGCTCCTAGATATGATTAAATAGGTAGACGAAAAGACATGAGTTCATATTTTCTAAATTTGTCAAATTAATTGTCAATGCAAACATTTATCTACTGTGGATGTCAATGGCTAAACAACAGCTACACTATGCTGGGAAAATATACAGCTCGCAAAATGCTAATTTATCACCAATTAAAAAATCCTGAAATTGATTGTATTAAAATAAGCAGGCAATGGATATTTTTCTGAGCTAATTACATCTAAAAATACAATGTCAAGATGCAACATTTAGGGCCCTAACATACACCCGGAGCAATAATGCGCAATATGTTTTTGGCACGATTTGTTGCCATTTTCAGACTAGCACAGCAGTAATTTTCACATTTTGTGCCATGTTGTTTAAATAGCAAATCCATTTCAGCTGCTTTGTGGACTCATAGGTGTGCTGGTCTATAAAGAAAGTATGTTAAGACGCATTGCAGGCGAGTTGCTATTTCGAGAAACTGAAATAGATCAGGCCACTGACTATCTAAAAGCTGGTTTAAATTCCAGCGCAGAGCCCGTTAGTTATGTACCGCTTACACATTGCTTAATACACACAGGGTATAGAGCAACACACAAAAATCTTTACATATGACAAAAAATGATTATTTATTACAAAGATATAAAAAAAACTACCTCCAAGCCTTCTTCATCTCGGGGGGGCTTTTTTTCAGTTTATTTATGAAAATTTGCATTTTTATTATGATGCTATTATTATTAGCAGTATTATTTCTGTGCATATTTATTCATTCATTCATTCAATTTCTTGTCGGCTTAGTCCCTTTATTCATCCGGGGTCGCCACAGCGGATTGAACCACCAACTTATCCAGCTAGTTTTTACACTGCGGATGCCCTTCAAGCCGCAACCCATCTCTGGGAAATATGCATATTTATTTTTGTTTTAATAAAAGCAAGTTTATATTTGTTCACCTGTCAGGTATTGGAGACGTATGCATCACCATATGGGGAATAAGAATAAGATGCGTGTTTTAACACTTTTGACGACACTTTATTATTATTGCTCATTTATTAGTTTGTTGGAAATTGGAACTGAATTTAGAAATAGTTTTGAAAGAAATCTTTGCACTTAAACTAGAATTAAATATATACGCTAATAGATGTCTTCAGTGGAGTGTGTTTCCACTGTTTCCTTACTCCACGAAAGTAAAGGAGTAAAGTAAAGAGTAAAAGTAAAGAGGCCGAATTGAGGAGGCTCAATCTTTATCCTCGTGCAGATGGTCTGTTTAACTGCTTTTTTGCCATGTAAATAGCAAATGTACCATGCGGCGGCACAACTGACTCGCAAAGGGAATGGGAGATGAGACTGATTGTTTATTGCACGTTATGCACAAAACACACCCATAATTTGTTAGGAGAATATGCACAACCCTGTTAAACCATGTGCCATGGCGCAAAGTGTACTTTTAAAAATAATAAAAGTGGATTCAGACATGCCCTTAATGATTTTGCACCATGAGCTTTAGACTTTGCACCTAGATCGTTAAAATGGAGCCCTTAGATTTTACAACATCAGAAATTACAGAAAACCTCTCCAGAAATTCTACATTCTGTTGTCATTTTACTCTCTAATCTCCTATCATTAATATTTATTTTCAGCTATACTTTAGGTTCCCCTAAAAACACCTACTGTATATGGAAGAAGTGAAAATAAAAATAGTAAAAGGGCCATCTCATAGGTCAGCTTTGGATAACCAATTAATTAGTGCAGCACAAAAATGCTTGTCACGTAAAATTAACTTCATTGATTGCACTTCTCTGCAATATGAATATTTCATACACTATTAATGATAATTTTTGATACATTGTGTAGCCCTAATCTGAAAGTGAGGAAATAGTAACAATGTTCATTTTTAGATGGATATCCCTTCATATTGACACTTTTCTAATTTCTTCACTCTCTTTCTTTTTCAGTAATGAGTGCCTCCTACTGAGTTTTTCTTCCCCTAATGCCCTTTTCATTCAATTCCCCCTCATTCATTTTGTGCAGCGTTTATGTTACATAAGCATATTAAGAGCTCTCTCCCACTCATACTGGACCGAAAGCACACTGCCATCAGACAAGTGACCTATATAGCACAGACATGTGGTCACGTGAGCAGTGTCTACCGCAGAGACTGTCTTACATTGTTCACTAAACGCTGCTAGTGAAAGTGATTGTGGAGACCTGAATGAGTCTTACAGTATGCTCTGTGGCAATCTTTAATCTTTTTAAATAAGTAACACTTTAAATAAAATATTTTTAAAAACACTATTACAATTTTAAGAACATTAATTAATTTCTAGTAAGACCACTAAGATTTTGGTAATTGTAATAATTTTTATAATACTTTCCTATATGTAGTTAATGTATTTATTAAAACGTGCAAATTTAAAATCCAACGTTGTGTTTTTTTTTTACATTAATTAACACTCTTTTTAAATGAACATAATAGCAAGGAACAGTTTTATTTTTATTTATACACATAGAAAGTAAACAACCAACAATAAGTACACAATAAAACAAACAACGAACTACAACCAAACCACAAAAACAAAAGAAAAAATAAATAAATCAAACAATAAATAGATAAATAAATAGGCAGGTAGATAAATAAATAGATAGGTAGAAAGATAAAAATAAATAAATAAATAAACAAACAAACAAACACAACTAACGCTGAGCCATAAAACAGCACTATTAAATCAGACAATGACTAAAGGAAGAAAGGAAGGAAGGAAGGAAGGAAGGAAGAAAGGAAGGAAGAAAGGAAGGAAGGAAGGAAGGAAAAAAGGAAGGAAGGAAGGAAGGAAGGAAGGAAGGAAGGAAGGAAGGAAGGAAGGAAGGAAGGGCTTTTCTAAATTCTGGTGAATAAATTGATCAATTCATCAATAAAGCTCTTTGCTAAAATCTAACAAATAAATAACTACATACAACCTAAAAAAAAAAGAAAAGAAACAAGGGAACAAATTTGCTAATTATCTTTAAAGACACAAAAAAAACTAAATAAAACAAATAATTAAATAAATAAGTATTAAAGGAACAAAAGACAAAAAAAGAATGACAAAAGAAAGAAAGAACGACGAATAAAGGAACGAATAACGAACTTAAAGGTATAAAACACAGACCTGCAGTTGAGCTGCTGGCAGGTTAACGTCAGCCACCATCTCAGTACAAGGATGTTCCACTTGAAGACGTGGATTGAGCTCCAGGAAGTAAAAGCTGCTGTCCTGACTGTACAGATACTCCACTGTACCCGCACTCACATAGCCCACCATCTTCGCCAACTTCACAGCACACTGAAACATACCAGACAATGGTTTATGGCAGCAGACACAATTCCTTACTTTAACATCATCATTCAACTTATGCCAAATTTGAGGCCTAAAGATATGATACCTTCTCCATATCTTCAAACACGTCTGATGTAGCGATAGTAGCCGGGGCTTCTTCAATGATCTTCTGGTGTCTGCGCTGCACGGAGCAATCACGGCCGAACAGAGAGATGGCATTACCGTACTGATCAGCCAAGATCTGAACCTCCAGATGACGAGCATGTTTGGCCAATTGCATGACAAAAATCGGGGAACCTGGAACCTCAGCTTGAACCTGAGTAAAACCAAAAACACAGTATTGTAGTTGCAGTTCTTTAATGGATGTGCAAAAATGATTAACAGGATAGAGTTCGCCCACAAATGTAAATGTACTCATTATTTACTCATGCTCAAGTGGTTCCAAACTGTTGAGAGTTTCTGTTTACTGTTGAATATGAGAGAACATATTCTGAAGGATGTTGGAAACCTGTTAACTAGAGCTGGGCGGGATGACCCAAATTTTATTTCACAGTATGAACATTTTTTTTTTTTTTACAAAAATTATATATTTCACAATATACTTTTTGTTGAAGTCAACTATTCCAGAAAATATACAAAAGAGCTTTATATAAAAAACCAATTTGAATATTTTAAAAAGGAAAGGGACTTTATCTTATTTGATTACTTTGTATATTTTTTCTTTAACCTTATAAATATAGTAAACCAAATATGGACCTTAGACGAACAGCAAATGCCACTGTATGTCACATTTCAAGGTTTTAAGTGGACATACATTATTATTATTATTATTATTATTATTATTATTATTATTTGTAACATATATGTATGCTGGAGATAAACATTTCGTTTAACATTTTATGAGAATGGTCTGGTTTCAATTTCCGTGGCAACTTAGATCACTCGGTGACAAAAAGTCTGGCCTAAAAAAATTCCTGCTGACAAGTAACGAGTTTGGGACGTTCCACAGAGCAGTCCTAATTTACTCTCTGCCGACTTCAAAGGGACATGGCATATTAGAGAGAAAACCCATCTAGCAGCCCTCTCCTCACAGAAGAAAAATACATTCCTCTCCAGTGTTTTAGTATATTTAAACAAAGACATTTAGAACCCAAATCTCTTGTTTAATTATATCTAACTTTTGTAATGTGTACCATTCCTCATAGTTTATACAAATTCGTACATTTTAGGCCTTTTTAAGTCATAAATAATATGAGGATGTGAAAAATCATGTTGATGTACTTTTAAACCCCCCATGTTTGGTACTGATGGGTTTCTGCTGACATTTTACAACACATGATGCATAGAGCAAGATCATAACTAGCATTTCTTTATTATTTAATCCCCTGTATTAAATGCCTGTCCGCATGCTTTAGGCGGACACTCAAATTTGCATACGAGCAGCCTCGAGACAAAGGAAGGTTCGCGCGCAAACTTTCCCCTGAAATCATTGGTCAGAATGCTGTACGGGTTGTCACGTGACCCGCAGGTATAACCAGACTTCCCCCCAAACATCTTCAGAGAAGGTCCGAACAGAGAACCCATCAAACATGGTCCCTTTAAGGGCAACACGACTCTTCACAGCCGCATGGACTTTTTCCCGCCAAGCTTTTCTTTATTTTCCGGCAAAAGTAAACTCAGTTTAAAGTTTGCGATCGTGTTCGTCCGAACTGCATTACAAACTCCACGCATCAAGAAGGACATCAAAAGGAGTTTCATAAGGAAAAAACCCGCATAAAGAAAGAGACCTCCAGACATGAAAGCCCAGGTATTTTCTTTAGTTATGCGATTAAGCTGTGCCCCTTTTATTAAAAAGGTGTTTTTTATAATCTTGGTGATCCTTAATGGTGCGTGTGGAACTGAAAGTTTTGTCAGCCTTTTATCTGAAATGTATATTTCCTAGCTTTACTATTTCTCTTTGCTGTTACACGTTCTATAAACCCGATATCGCCACGTGGTTTACCTTTGTTTTGTGTTTAATGTATGTTTGTGCGTTTGTTTGTTCGTTACGTCTGACTAGTCAATAAATTCCATTATAATCAAATGAATTGTATTGTTTGCCTCACAAGAAAATGTCACTGAAATACAGATTCCCCTGCCTAGCTATTATAAGTTGTTAAAACTTTTGAATGATTAATCTACTTCGCAAGAAGTACTGTAGCAATTAAATTCCCTTTTTCTAAATGAATAGATCATTACCGTGTCCGCTCGGAAGAGCGGCGGCTCTGCTTGCGTTGTTTGGTCAAACTGACAATAAATTGATCCAGAATATTAATGATTAATAATAATTCGTTATTGTTGATAATTAATATTCATAATCTGAGAGCCCGCTCGGTCGAGCGGGCAAGATTATATTACAATCATGTGTTTGTTTGATCAAATTGACTGAAGCTTAAGCCGGAATATTAATAATTAAGAATAAACTGTTATTGTTGATTATTAATATTCATAAAATGAGCTAATTTCTGTTACATGTTATTATTATTATATACACTAACTGGCCACTTTATTAGGTAAAACTTACTAGTACCGAGTTGGACCCCCTTTTAACTACAGAACTACCTTAATACTTTATGACACAGATTCAACAAGGTACTGGAAACATTCCTCAGAGATTTTGGTCCAAATTGACATGATATTATTACACAGTTGCTGCAGATCGGCTGCACATTCATGATGCGAATCTCCCGTTCCACCACATCCCAAAGATGCTCTATTGGATTGAGTTCTGGTGACTGTGGAGGCTATTTAAGTACAGTGAACTCATTGTCATGTTAAAGAAATAAGTCTGAGATGATTCATGCTTTATGACATGGCACGTTATCCTGCTGGAAGTAGCTATCAGTAAATTAGTGCACAGTGAATGTAAAGGAATGAACATGTCAAATTCTGACTCTACCATAAAAAAGTTGCAGCAGAAATCGACTCATCAGACCTGACAACTTTTTCCAATCTTCTATTGTCCAATTTTTGTGAGTCTGTACGAATTATAGCCTCAGTTCTGTGTTCTTAGCTGACAGGAGTGGCACTTGGTGTGGTCTTCTGCTGCTGTAGCCCATTCGCCAGAACGTTGAATGTTGTGCATTCTGAGATGTTCTTCTGCATACCTCGGTTATAACGAGTGCTTATTTAAGTTGCTGTTGCCTTTCTATCAGCTCGAACCAGTCTGGCCATTCTCCTCTGACCTCTGGCATCAACAAGGCATTTGTGCCCAATAAAACTGCCACTCACTGAATATTTTCTCTTTTTCGGACCATTCTTCGTAAACCCTAGAGATGTTTGTGTGTGAAAATACCAGTAGATCAGCAGTTTCTGAAATACTCAGACTTAGTCTGGCACCAACAACCATGCCACATTAAAAGTCCCAAAATCCCTTTTCTTCCCCATTCTGAAACATTTTTTTCATAAAAAAAATATAAAAAATGAATTGTATGTATATTGAAGGGTGGTTTCACACCTAGATGTTTCGGAACATGATGTGTTTGCCCCCTAACTTGGTTTATTTGGGTATACTTTATGTAAACCTCGCTATCAAGCACTGATCTGAGTCTAATCAATTTGTCTCAGACTGCCTAGATGAGGTTGTCTTAGCTTGATTAAAACGATCTCTAGATTAGTTCGGTTGTTGTAAGTCAGTAATACAATCCAATGAACTAACAAACCAGGTTATAACATGGTATATTATGGTATATACATATATACATTATGTACATATATATATATATATATATATATATATATATATATATATATATATATATATATATATATATATATATATATATATAAAATTTAAATACACACTTTATAGATGCACTGTATACAGTCATACCGCCCAACCCTACCAATAGTTCAACAGAAGAAACACACAGATTTGAAACAAGTAAGTGGTGAGTAAATAATTAAATAATTTAAATTTTTCAGGTGAATTGTTTCTTTAAAAACTTTGGAAGAAGGTTGATGAAAATATATTGTGGAAGTTACAAATCATACAAAACCTCACAGACTGATTGACTTGAATATCTACTCTGACCTGTCTATAGAGGTTGGGGAAGTCTTCTGCACAGTTGACTTTCCGGATCCCTTTTCCTCCTCCGCCCTCAGATGCCTTCACCATCACAGGGAAGCCCACTTGTTCAGCAGCCTGCCAATCAAAACAGGATCTGTTTTATGCACATTTCAGAGCATTTCTTGATGACAAGATGCATACAAATTGTACAAATGTGTATGAAGATAAAGTATGCGTTCAATTAAGTCTATTTTTTTTTCATATCAGATACCCAGGAACTCTGATGGCAACCTATTTATATAATACATTACACAATTGATAAATTTGCTTCAACATTGATATGACTGAATAGACTAACCAGCATTATTATCAAAAAAAAAAAAATCACACTCAAGCTGTTTTACCCATTCTAAAGGTATCTAAACAAAAGTCTAAAAGCATAATGGTTTAGTTTAACTGTCTTTTCAGAATTGTTAAAGATGACTGTGTTTCCAAACTAGAAACACAAGCATTTCAATGCAAGTGTGTCATCTGCCACTTTGAGGAAAAATTCATACATATTATGGAGAAAACAGAGCTAGTGTGGTTTCCCCACTTTTAGGAACTTACATTTTTATTATCATTGATCAAATATATAAATTTATTTTGTTTTATTAAACAAATAGGATACATCCAATGCTAAAAATCAATGTTTAAAGTCTGTTTACAATTACAACGCATATAAATAAATATAATTTGTATGTGTATAATTAAAAAAAAAAACTGTTTGGAAGCATAGCATACCTTCAATCCAGCCTCCACGTCGTGCACACAGCCTTGCTCGTATAGCTCAGTAGGAACATTAATAATCCCTTTCTTCTGGTCATTCTCTGTCCACTCTACAGTCAGTCCTGTACAAAAACACCATCACAGTAGTCAATTTTCAAAGCCCCAGATGAGACAAGGAAATAACTGCAAGAAGAAAAAAAAAAAAAAAAGAGTGTGGGATATGCATTCATGCTGTATTTAATTCAAACTCATTCCACCAGAAAACCACTTCTTTCTTTCTCGTTTTCGTACACCAAGTAAACACAAAGCTTGCTTTGAACTGAGCTAGATGATAACACTACTGACTTTTGTAAACTGCATTAAAGTGTTCAAAACTGAGAACACAATATGTCATTGATCATGCCACAGAAAAATATCATTATGCAAGCAAACTATCATTTAAGAGCTAAAAACTGTGTCATTTGTCTAAAATGGAATGGAATACATATTTACAGAGATGGGAGGTAACGAAGTGCAAATACTTTGTTACTGTACTTAAGTAGATTTTTCTGGAATCAGTACTTTACTCAATAATTAACTTTTCTGACAACCTTTGCTTCTTACATTTTTTACACAAATATCTGTACTTTCTACTCCTTAACTTTTTAAACCATGGTCGTCACTTTCATTTTCATGTGTTTGGTGGCGCAATCTTTATTATTTCTTGTCGCTGCGCAATTTGAGCACCTTCTCGATGCAATCACTCTAATTTCCCTCATTGTGCTGCATGCTGCAGTGTGCGTTTCTTTTTTTTTTAACCAAAGGTTATCACGTGCCTTACGTAGGCTAGTTTATGAAGACTACCATGAGCAGGCAAGGATGAGCAGATGAGACAGAGGGAGTCTGTGAATGTAACATGAGTGATGCTGCCCTGTTTACACAGTAATAAGACATATTTTGCTCGATCAGATCACAAGTAAACAAGAGAGACACATTCCAGTTCAAAAATATGCCATTTAAATACTTAAGGTTAAGGTTAGAAGATTTTGTGCACTTCTGGACCATATGCACTGCATATTTAAGGTTACTTTATCTAGGCTTTGTTACTTAGTTTTAATCCACAAGATATGCATATTCTAATTTAATAACCAGTAAGCTTTCTCTCGCAGTCTCCTCTTCAGACTAAGAACATAGATTTTATTTTATTTAATACAGAGTTTGACTATAATTATATTTCACCCTCCCTGAATTGTTTACATTTTGTAATTAATATTGTTTATTTTATTGTTATTGTTATTATTGACTTTGTTCATTTAAATTTTTGTACATTGTGTTTTGTTGCTTTCTATGTTGTTTAAAAAAGTAAAATAACTGGCAGTGAAAATGTATTCCTTTTTAATGTTTAAAAAAGTAAAAAAGAAAAAGAAAAAAAAAGAAAGAAAACATTAAGACTAGCATATTGATACAAGACATAAACAAAAAAATATACTGATTTAAGGGAGACTTTAATTATTTACTTCTTAATCTCTTACAACTGCTAAATTACAACTGAATAATGCACATAAATGCTATGTCAATTCAATTTAGCGTATATAGCAAAGCTAAAATATACTTGCTGCAGTAAATATTGTGGTGATGCAGTGCCAGACCGCATATGTATGCAGTGTGAAAGCTCTAATCCTTTTATGCAAGCACAGATAAAAATACAGACTGCATACACTGCAAACAGAGCACATCTGAAAGTGGCCTTCCCATAAATCTGCTTTATAAAATCTGAAAAAAGATGACTTAGCTTTCTAGCAAAATGTTTTCTTTAGTTTTAAGCATTTACAATGCTAAACCTCTCCATAAACAGATTACGTAATGCCCTCTGCTTGATCTCAATCTGTGTTTGACAAAGGATGTTTTGTGCATATACACATCAGACAGTCCTTGAACTGAAATTAGGCTGAAACTGACCTGTTCCACTCCAGGGTAGTGTGGGAATGCCTGCTGTCTGGGCCACAATAGAGGAAGCGATCTTATCCCCGAGAGCCCACATAGCCTGACTTGGAGGACCTAATAACAGACACAAACCACTCGAGTAACAGCACTGTATGTGATTCATTTAATCAATGTTGTGCTGTCAGACTTCTAATAATAGCTCACCCATGAAGGCGATGCCGTTCTTGTGCAGCAATTCAGGAAGTTTGGGATTTTCAGAGGCATGACCCCAGCCAGCCCACACAGCCTAAACACAGTGGGTAAAAATAACTAATGTTTATTTTTATGTTGTTGTTGTTGTTGTCATAAATTGTTATTTATTCCATGGTCTGTTGAAATTCTTGATTCTGATTGGCTGGAAGGTGTGCAATAAAATAGTTTAATGCACAGGTAGTTTAAAATGCACAACATGTATACCAAATGTGCTTCCCTCAAACATTAGTAGTAACCAAGGTAGTTCTTGAGTGACAGTTGCTAGAGCCTTCATTCTTCTGAGTAATCTCAAAGCAAAGAGGTAGCTACACATTATTGACTTCATTCTTTCACGTACAATCTCATTCACTTACATTGACTTTTAGCCATAAAACAACTCATTATACTGCTTGATGTTACAAACTTGTAATTTCTAATTATATTATTTATATTTTTATAGGTCACCATAAACAACTGTTTGTAGAGCAAATACCATTTGAACATTTACTCCTATTGTTTATTACTCCGTCTTTTCCCCATAGAAAAAATAAATCTGAATTACTAAAACAATCACAGAAAAGAAATTAAGCGTTCCAGAATATGTCAATATGAGCTGTTAGATATTCCCATGTCATTAACATGCACACACATGATCTCATTTACACACACCCCCTTTAGCTTGATTGAATGCAGGGAGGGACATGAAGAGGTGGTAATTCAGTAAAATATTTTGTTTAAAAGAGCAAACTTACAGGATAGCTTGTCTATAACTTAGCATATGACCACAGTATACATGGGATAATCAACAGTTTGCATTGCGTTAAGAAATAAGGTACATCCAGGTAGTTGTTATCACAGTAAAAAAGCCAAATGCAAAATGGAGGGCGGTTGCATTAGACTGAAAGGCTTTATTCTGTGAAAACAACCACCTGGATGTACTTTATACCATTTATTACATGACTACTTGCCACAAAATATGAAAAATTTGACACAAAACTGTGTTCTTTTATTAATTATTTACTAATTACTATAACTAATAATAAATTATTTTATTAATTATTTAATTAATAATTCTTTAAGGCAAAGCTGACAGATATAAAACAGGCTGAATGGAGCATACACCAACCTACGCACTATTCAGTCACAAGATAGCAATAATCGAAGAGGGCTGCTGTTTAAAGGCCGATTTATACTTCTGCGTCAAGCGCAAGAGGGCTATGCGCCCACACGTAGGCTGCGCTGTAGCATAATCGTGGACACAGCCCTCGCAGATGCTGATGCGCACCTCTCAAAAAAAGTAACTACACATCACAACAACGTGTAGCGCAAGCTCTATGATTGGTCAGCTTGGTAGCGCTGATGTAGAGCCAGATGCAGCAAGTGTTTACTAGTGCGGAGTCCCGTGAAGAAGCTCCACATAGAGACTGTTATTGCTTTGTCACCGAGTCCTGCCTCAAAATTAGCGAGTTTGCGCCACTTTTACATTAAGGTAGCAATCATATTAAAACAAAACATCAGCGATGAAACTGAACACAAAGGAACATAATACCTACTGCCAGCTGGCATTTCGGAAGTGTTATTGTAGAGCAACAGAAACAGCATGCAGAAGTATAAATGTACGGCTACGCGCATTGCATACGCCATGGGTCACGCCGATCACTTGACGCAGTATAAACCAGGCTTCAGCCTAAAGGCCTTTATTCTGTAAAAACATTGGCCATAGTACGTTTCTAGTTTTGCATGGCTACTTGCCACAAAACGCTACTTGCCGACTCTAATAGTTTATTAATTCTTTATATAAAGGCAAAGTTGGAATGAAACAGCTGAATGGAGCATACACTAATATGCATATAATTCAATCATAAGATGGCACCGAAAAACAGCAGCGGAGAAAAAGAATCGTAGCTTATAAATCCATGTAAATGTATTCACTGATGGTGAATGATTCAAAATACCCGGATAAGCCTGTGTAATTCAGTGGTTGTTATTTTGGAATAACATGTATCCGCTTTCGGAATAACATCAGAATCAAGTATCCGCTTGTTAATTCGTGACGTATGGAATACTGTTTCCGGGTCCAAGCCGCTACTAATTTGAATTCAGAAAATATTAGTTTTTGAGCACTTGTTAGTCCTATCACACATTAAAGCAAATTTTATATGCAATCATAGCGTACACAGCAGTATCCGGACTTGCTGCATCACTGACAGCAATATTTTTACAATTTATAAAAATGAATCCCATTCTGGCCTTATTAGGCATATATAAAGTATACATAATGCGATCATGATTTTCGAAAGTATTACAACGCTTTGCAAATATTTATTATTACTATTTGTTACCATTACCATTACCATAGTCTCCCCATACAGTTTGATAGAGCGTTTGGACCTGCAAGCCACTTTGCATGACTTCACACTTAACAAGCGATTTCCTGAGAGCCATTTAATAAAGGATTTTCAAAGCAGAGGTTACCACCCTCCGCACTGCATTGGGCAGATCTTTGACTGCTTGTCATGCATTTGTGCATTCTCTGCATTGTAAATTCTTTAACACACAGTAATACATTTATTATTCCTTGTCTATTGTATAGAAGTATAATATAATAAACATTTCATCTCATAAGACATCAAAAATTCTATTATCATTTTATATCCCTGTAAAATTATAAATTGCTTATATTATATTCAAAATTTTATTTAACCCTTTAAAACATGCAAGACCTCTAACATCTAGAAGCTTCTGGTAATGCACAGAAAACAAGATACAAAGAGGATATGAGGTTTTGTAAAAACCAATCCATAATCAAGCGGTTTAACTCATGTCAAGAGATATGTTTGATTGTTTATATGGTGTACAACTTTAATTTACAAGTAAAAATTAAATGATCGATAAGTAAATGATGATAGAATTTTATTTTTTTTTTTCGGGGGGTGAACTGTTCTTAATGTGTTCTATAATTGTCCAAATACTTTATTAGCTCTAAACAGCATTTATCAATGCTCATGTCCACTTACTTGAACAGGAATTCGTTTAGCAATGTCCAAGATGAGTTCCACATTAGCGTAGTTGTTGTTGTTTGTCCCTCCTGGCACAGGCACATAGTGATCTGCCATCTTGATGTACTCTGTGGATTGAGTTATGTTTGCATAAGTTTTTAATTGTGTGCACAAATCACTTCTGCCTCGCTAAACACTTTGTATGCAAATTAGGCCAGGCCTGTGCCAACAATGCTTACTGACATAGTTTAAACAATAAAAAAAAAAGATCAATGTACTGTATTTCTGTTAAAATACAGAATTTCAGTGCATCATTGGTTTATTTATTACAGGTTTCCTCTGGTGAATTTTTGAACTTACCTGCATTAGCTTTAAGGTCCTCTGGGGTCACCATGACAACAAAGCGTATGGCCCGTTCATTCCGAAACATTTCGTAAGCCCAGCGTCGGATAGAGCGCATGCACTTGACTGCAGCAATGCCATTGTTCGCAATAAGGACCTGTCAAAAGAGTATCATAATATTATGCTAATGTCATAACCGGTTAATGGTTAAAAATAAATTATAATACAATTTTTTTCTGTATAACTAGAGGTGTAACGGATCACAAATCTCACAGTTCGGATCACACTACGGTTTTTGAGTCACGGATCGGACCATTTTTCAGATCAGCAAAAAAAGAGAGGAGACAAATGTCATTTGCTTTCCAGTTCTAAAAAAATATTACTGCAAAAACCATTGGTTTTAACAAACAGAACTTAGAAGCAGTAATTTTAATACAAAGAAAACCCAGAAGGAACCAGCTGATAAAAGGAAAATATTAAATACAAAAAATTATCTTTGCTACTGTTGCTGATAATGGTAAACATAGAAATCTAACATCTTGCACAACATATCATATTTATTTTCAATGAATGACTTAAAAATTCAAACATAAAACCTTATGTTTAATTATAGGTGGATAATTTTTATAAACCGATTCAGTGACGTAATTTTGATAGTTGTTTGTCGCCACCTATTGGTTAAACAATGTAATTGCTACATTCAGCAGCGTCAGGTTCCACTAAACAGGGATTTTAATCTTTACCATAAACATCAGTGTTTATATCTGAACTATAAACTGTTCTCCCAGTACTTCAGTGTCATTTCATTGTTTGTTACTAATTAAAAAAAAGTGTAAAAATAAATAAATCTCTCGCGATCAAACACAGATTTGAAGTCACTATCATTTATCATGTTGCGCGAGTTTGAATTGAGATCCTGATCTTTTAATATTTAATTGTGCAGCTTACACTGAACACATTATGCAGGCTAAACAAACAGTGACAGAAAACACCTTTAATTAATAACCTAAGAAAGCATTTAGGTCCCACCACAACTTTTTCCATCATCATTGTATTTTACAGGGAAGCCAAAATGCTTTCATACACGTGATTTGGATGTGGAAGGCACGTGGGAGGCGATATCTCTGCAATTGTTATAAATGTTGGATTAAACTACTAAAGTTCAAAAAAAGTTATTAATCCACAGGTCAGGTACATTCCAAACTGTGGGTTGTGATTCATACGCATCAACTGTGATCCATTACACCCCTATATATAATTAAACATTAGCAAAAATTATCAATGTCAACATTACATTACATCACATGTATTACAAAATTATGCATTTTGTTTTCAACCATTTATTAGTCCTCACATTAATTTTCAATATGTTTCAGAAACGCTGAAATCAAAGGTTATATCTGATTAATATTTTAATGATTCTGAGCTAACATGAGCTATGATCAATTATATTTTTAATTAAATAATAAAATCAAATAAAATAATATATTTTTACATTTTTTAGCTAATATTAACTAAGGTAATGCCCGCAATTACTTAATATGTGACTAAATTTAGACAATGAGACTTAATAAATAGTTAATAAAAATAATAAAAACAAATAAAAATTATTATATAAATAAAGGAATAATAATTAAAAACAAAATATTATAACAACAAACAACAATAACTAAAAAAGATTGCAAAAATAACATTCAATTACACAACGCATTCTGTAAATAGCTGCACATAAAATGCCAGTGAAAGATCTTACCTTCTCAATAACTTTGTTTCCACCGAAGCGGGTGACAAACTCAGCTGGAGAAGCAACAGTAAAATCCCTCTGCAGGTCGATACGTCTGCGGTCCCTACCCTGCTTCACAAGGTGAAGTCCTGACATGCTAGGCCTTAAGAAAGACACAAAAGCACCATCATAATTCCCAAGGTTGCCTGAGAAACAATAAATGCAACAAGACTAAACACTAAAGCTAGGTTAGGCAACTGACAGCACTGCTGACTCTGACAGAACTGCTAAAAGAGCAATTGCTTTCGCTACTGCAGACAGCTTTTAGAAACTATAAAGAGAGCACTTTTCATTTCAGTGAAGGTTTAATTTGTCATGCTGCTAGACACAGATAAAAGTTTCAGAATTAACACGCTAATATTCAGAATTTACTGCAAAAATGAGAAGAGTGACAATAATAAAATGGCAAAAGACAGCACAACACATTTGATACATGACAAAATATTGGAGGTCTCTGCATTATTAAGCCCTAAAGTTTAATTGGAAGAATTTTGATACCTGTGGATTGTAGTATTTTGTTGTGAAAGAAGGATTAAAACCATTACAATCATATGACTATCATATAAGTTTTGCTTTCACAAGGGAGTGTTACTCATGGACTGTATACAGACCAAATTTTTCATTGAGCTAGGCATGGGACGATAATCTGTTTCAAGGTTTACCATCGTTTGGAAAAAGTCAAGGTTTTAAAACTGCAAAAAAAAAAAAATAATAATTGTTTGTTAGGTTTTGTGTATGTTAAGGCTATTTAATTAAATTTATTAGAAAAAATTATCTCCAGAAGAAAACTGTTTATAACCTTAAAGAATTGACAGCAGAAAACAAAAATTATTTATTTAATTATTTAGTCTAAAATGTTATTGAACTATTTTTAATTGTTTCTTAAAAAATATGTTGTGTTTAAGGTGAAAAAAGTTTTTAAAGTAAGACACCGTGAAACTGTGATACACTTGTCCAAGGTAATCATACAACGAATTTTATACCGGCCCATTTCAAGTCAAAGCAAAATTCATTTTCTTGTCGGCTTAGTCCCTCTATTAATCCGAATCTGGGGTGGCCACAGCGGAATAAACCGCCAACTTATCCTTATCCAGCAGGTTTTTACGCAGCGGATGACCTTCCAGCCGCAACCCATCTCTAAGGAAAAAAATAATTATATATATATATATATATATATATATATATATATATATATATATATATATATATATATATATATATATATATATATATATATATATATATATATATATAAATAAAGACGCACATATGACAGGAACCCTTTTTGATCAAATGTTGGAATCCAATGGAATCCAATTTTGCCGTTTCCGAATAAATGATGTGACCCAGCAACAAAGATGTTCATTACAGTAGATATCAACACTGAAAATTCATTAGCCTAATATGAGTAATAATTTACATGAACTGATATAACACGAATTAAAAATTTATAAAACTCTGAATAGATGTTAATAAAAAACCCTCTTGAAATAGATCCCCTTTTTAACAATCATATGAGCTTACTTTCACTGTACTTTCACTGTTGACTTTCGCTGAGCTGAGCAATTCCATGCAACGGTCAACCTTGCCATGAAAAAAATTAGGTTTGGGCCAAAATATCCAAAATTGCTTTTTGTGTAAGCAAGCATTTAACAGTGCTTTACAAATACTCAAAAATGTCTTTGGTAATGTTTTCAGACAATTATATTTGATTTACCAGAGTCACACAAGTGCCAATTTCACATCTGTCATATCCATAACGGTGAGGTGTCACATCCATTGTGAAGCTTTTTCCTTTTGTTTGCAAAAAATGCCAAATAAAATAAAAACAATCGTTATTGATCTATCAGGAGGTAACTCTTATCCATTTGACTAGCATTGATTCTTTTGGGTTGTGCAGTTTAATTCACAGTAAGTTTGTGGTAGACTGTAATCTCGCTAATCTTTTTCGACACATCCATAACGCCTGGTTAAAAAAAATGTTTACAGATTGATATTTTTCTGATCCTTTTCTGATAACTGTGGGTATTTATTTTTGAAAATATAAACAGATGTTTTAATATAATGTTAACATACTTTTTTGAATTTATTCTTTTTTTTTACTGCAAATGTCACATCCATAATGCTGGAATTGCTCAATTGCATAAAATGGATTAATTTATATAATTATTATATAAGTCTTGTATGCGGTGAAGCAGTGGCGCAGTAGGTAGTGCTGTCGCCTTACAGCAAGAAGGTCGCTGGGTCGCTGGTTTGAGCCTCGGCTCAGTTGGCGTTTCTGTGTGGAGTTTGCATGTTCTCCCTGCGTTCGCTTGGGTTACCTCCAAGTGCTCTGGTTTTCCCCACAGTCTAAAGACATGTTGTACAGGTTAATTGGGTAGGCTAAATTGTCCGTTGTGTATGAGTGTATGTGTGAATGTGTGTATGTTTCCCAGAGATGGGTTTCGGCTGGAAGGGCATCCGCTGCGTAAAAACTTGCTGGATAAGTTGGCAGTTCATTCTGCTGTGGCGACCCCAGATTAATAAAGGGACTAAGCAGACAAGAAAATGAATGAATAAATGAAGTCTTGTATGCGGGCGATGCAGTGGCGCAGTAGTGCTGTCGCCTCACAGCAAGAAGGTCGATGGTTCGAGCCCCAGCTGGGTCAGTTGGCGTTTCTGTGTGGAGTTTGCATGTTCACCCTGCCTTCGCTTGGGTTTCCTCCATGTGGTCCGGTTTCCCCACAGTCCAAAGACATGTGCTACACGTGTATTGGGTAGGCTAAATTGTCCATAGTGTACGAGTGTGAGTGAGTGTGAATGGATGTTTCTTAGAGATGGGTTGTAGCTGGAAGGGCATCCACTGTGTAAAACATGTGCTAGATAAGTTGGCGGTTCATTCCGCTGTGGCGACCCCATATTAATAAAAAGACTAAGACTAATTTTTAAAAAATATTAGACTAATTTTTAAAAGCTTTTTTGAGCATTTTTATATCCTATAATTAATTAGAATTATGGTAAGGTTAATAACATTCAACTCCAAGCATTTTTGTGAGGTGATTTTTTATTATTATTTAAAAGACAGAGAAAACAGGGATTTTTTTTTTTAAAGGCAATATCGCCCAGGCCTAATCATAGGAAACTTACAAAATACATGTTAATGTGTCAATTTAGGACAGAGAAAATGCATACTGCAGAAAAAGAAGTATCAGCATGGTATTCCTAACACGGCCTTAATGTTTAGCCTAAAGTTACAGTATTGCGTCATGTCGGAAGTGTTGGCACACACAAGGTGATCCTGTAAGGGGGAAGGGCTGGTGTGTCTCTCGATCTTCCTACTCTAACCTCTCGGCAAAAGGAATGTTCTGTACTTCCTTAACACTTGCCCACCCAAGCCCCTCCTCTTGACCAATAGTGGAGCTTTATGTGGAGGAGGGGTGTATTGCCCCACTCAGGCAGTTTCAGCATCGCCACCCCATCCAGTAACCCGTCTCTGAGCTGCTTATAAGAGACCAGAGTTAAACACAAGGACACATTTATCAATTTAAATAATAGTAAGTTGATTCACAAATACAAAAACACACTGCAAAAAGTATTACTTTATTATTTTGCTAAATAAATGGTGTGTGTTCCTGTGAGGCAGCATTTAAACAGGAAATTTGCCGTACTGAGAAATCAGGCCTGTCTGCATGTGGTCTGGTAATTAGTACAAAGGGTAGCCACGTGTTCCCCGATGTAAAAACCAGACAGTTTTATTAAATTGCAGACAAATCTTATTTTTTATAGCATCAGTAAAAGCCAAAACAGACATACAGAATTTAGACCTGAGAGGCAATGTTTAAGACTGAAGTCTGTGTGGTTTAATATAAATATGTGGTAGTTATTTTATGGAAAGTGAATAAAATGCAGGAGTTATATATTTATTTAACAGTATATATCATGGTAATAAATTTAAATTGCCTAATATTTATATTTCATGATTATTTACTTGAAAATGTAAATAAAATACATGAGGTGCGAACTGAACAGCGGGGAGATGGTTGCGTGTTGGGTTCGGCGCACATGGGGACTGTACGAGAGACTCCCGGGAAAAAGGGGAGTGTTGGCAGGTTTGCCTGGACCTAGACTGAACTATTTGCCAACACCAACATTCCTCGGGTCTCATTTAATAGTATACTGTTTAAAATAAAAGAAGCACACACGTGTACTCCACTTCCCACCCAAAACTTGTCTATTACATACAAACTTGAGCGGAGAATGTTAGCAGCTGTAAGTAAACATACTTAAATATTGATGTAAGTTAACCACTGAAATTAATCAAATAAGCCATAATAAAAATCATTCATAAAAAATTAAATGTATTCTGATGTACGTTTACTTTAAACAGGATTTGTAAGCAAGATTTATAAATCAGAGCCCAGATCATGGACCAGTGTACAACTGTCTAGGTTGTCATGCCTCCAAGCACAATATATCGTTTCAAGAGTTCCCACTTAGGTATGCTTAGCATTTATAGCAGGTTTGGCATGCTGTCCCGGGAGACAACACTGAGCTGGGAGATATTTGAGCCCAGGGCTCCCGTCCGGTGAATAAGCATATCAGGAGATCCGAGATCAGGTAGGTCTCGATAGCTCCCCCTTTAAAAAAGGGAGGAAAAGGAAGAGATGGGGTGGCAGGGGGGATTCTTTCAAAATGAAGATAGAGCAATAAGGAGAAAGTGATCCATTTATAGTAAGCTAGGATCACTCTGACAGGATTATTACTGATTACAGATGAGTGGCCAGCAGTGCTAAATTATATCACATGCTCCTCTTGAAATTAGTTTATGAAACTTCATTTTACCATCGATATAGCCAAGTGCTCATCAGCAATAGTCACATCACAAGATTTGCAATTATGTTGAGTCTGAATTATAGGTAACCAGAAGCTACAGGAGTGTATTTAATTATCGTATTTATACAATATATGCAAAAAAAATACTTCTCTTACGTCGAATTTTGTCTTGTTTCTTGGCATGAGACGAAAACTGTTTTCAAGGTATATGGCGGTTTGGAAAATTCAAGGTTTTAAAATGGGCAAAATTATCTGCTTTACCGATCCTAAGTGCATGTGTAAGATTTTCTTTTTCTTTCTTTTTTTTTTGTTTTGTTCTTTAGGACAACAGTATATCCAGCAGAAAATACATCCAAAGATGCCATTTTAATAGTAAACAAATCTGTGTTTTAACATGACATGAAGACAGCAGAAGTCTATGATTTATTTGAATTATTTAGCCTAACATGTTTACTGCTCTAAAATATTATAAAGGTTTTTCAAAATAAAATAAACTTTGTTCAAAGGGGAAAAAAAGTTTTTGATTTTTACCAAGACATACAAAAAGAATATATTTTAGAGCAGTAATCACAATATTGTGAAACCATGATATTTTTATCCAAGGTAATCATACCGTCAGAATCTTATATCGGCCTACAAGTTTTTTAATGCAAATATCTACATTTTAAAGCAAAAACAAGGTTATTTCACTTACAACACGGGCAGATAAATTAGCATGTTTTAATTTTTAATTTACTTATTTCATTTGAAGTTGAAAACAAAACCTTCTTGTTACAAACAAGAAACGAGATAAAGCAAACTCCCCAGAAAACGATCAAATAGTGGCATTCAAACTGTTTTCATATCACAATATTTATCAAAATAACAGGTTTTTCCAATATCGTGTAGCCCTACTTCCAGGCTAATTCCAACCCATTTCTGAAGCCTTACCACTTAGACAAACAAACTCACGCACACAGACTCTTCTGACATGTCTGTGTGAGACCCCAGTAGGCATAGAGACGAAAGCGCTGCCAAAGCCTGGCAATCCAACAGAACTTAACCAAACACACAGAGAGTTGCTTGTGCACATTTTCACACAGCAAAAAGACGAACCCAGATGACCTTTCACAAACCCAGTCTCCTCAAGCCACCACTTTGCACAATGCTGCTGCCTACTTCTCTCATTCACATTCGGGCCTAGAAATGTAATCTGTTATTTAGACAACAAGCCCTAGTTTTATCTTGCAAGCAAGCCTTTTCAAAGGCCATGTCCCTGATTTCTTGCAATAGAGAGAGAAAACATGATACAAAGTTGGTGAAAGTGGACATCGATGACAGAATGCACACGAGAGCACAAAGCATGTCTGACCTCATATTGTGCAAGGGTCCGTCCAGGCTGTCGAAGCCCATCTCATAAGTGCTATCTGAACTGACGGAGGAGGGGGAAAGGGAGCGTGGATTGTCCTCCAGCTGCAGGTCCAGCTTCCCTGCGGTCTCATCCTCAGAGTTTTCCTCAGACACAGAGCCCACGATGAAGTGAGAGTGCAGCGCAGCCACAGCTGGAAGTTTCTTCTCGGTGGAGTCTTGCTCTGCCATTGTTCGGCCACGCTGGCAGGCTGCAAGCACTACAGAAGAAGAGAGAAGGTGCAAAAAAATTGATTTTTAAAGTTCTTTGTCTTAGTTCTGGCAATTACTAGCTACACTTGTCCAAGTGTTTGCTTTTTAATATACCTTTTAAATATACTTGAGTTTGTACATAACTGGGAACAACTGCGTTTTCTTATTGTGTTGCCTGGGCATGGAATCAGTTGCAGAAGACTTAAAACGAGATCGATGAATTTAAAGGCATTATGAAGAGAGTTGTATTAGATGTATGTGATTGCTGTTGTTGAGAGGACTGATGAAATGTTGTTGTAATGTGGTCTTCTAGTATTTTAAAATTGTTTTACTCTATGGCTGTTACATTGGTCAGGTCTCTCTCTTGTAAAAGAGATTTTAAATCTCAATGAAACTTCCTAGTTAAACAACAGTAATGTAAAAATAAAATAACAATCATTTAGTATTTAATTAGACAAAAGTATATAATATTAATAATAATAGTAATAATAATAATAATTATTATTATTCCTTATATTTATATAGCGCTTTTCTAGACACTCAAAGAGCTTAACACATTGGGGGAATTTCCTCATGTTCCACCATTGTGAAAGCAACCATATTGTGCCAGGCCACACACCAAACACCAAACACCAGCGGGCTGGTGGAGAGAGACAGAGTGATGAAGCCAATTACAAAATGGGAATGGTTAGGAGGCCATGATGGACAGAGGCCAGTGGGCAAAATGGGATGTTTAACGACCACAGTGAGTCAGAACCCCGGTTTAACATCTTATCTAAAAGACTATGCCCATTGTAAAGTATAGAGTACACTTTTTTTACTTGATCGGTACTCGCTTATCTGGCTGATCAGATGAAGTGATCACAAGTGTTTGTTTAGGTTTACAAGCAGAGAAAGATGCATGTTAACTTCTTATGCATCAAATATGTGTGGCGCCCTCTTATCTCACAGAATTAGTTACTGTGCACTTAGGGCACTCCCAGGTTCTAATTAGGTTGTCTCTCGACGAAATTATTTGTGGAACCCTGTGTTATAACCACAGAATTTTAAATGACACAAAGAGCTTTGCCTTGATATATTTACAAAATGTATGCCTGTTTAATAACCCAGAAAAAGAGATTGTTTAAATTAAATCACTTGTATTATTTATTTAACAAATACAATTTAAATATGAAAACATAAATTCACATTTGACAGTGTTGGTTAGTCAGTGGCTTACAAAGATGTAACCAAACAAAAAGAAATACAATAATATACATATAAATCTTTTAAACAACAACAAATAAACTTTTTTCAATAAAAAAATAAATAAATAAATATATAAACTGCTAGTAAAACTAAATTATTTATTTATTTATCATCTAATGGAAGCACTGTGCTACATAAGCATTCCAAACTTTTTCTTCATAGATGCATGTTGAATTCTTTTTCCATCATTTGAAATGTTTTCAGATTGCATTGTTATTCATTTTTCTTACCAATTTTTTTTAATCTGTTTTATCTATTATTTTCTGTAAACTACTTCTGACCATGACATGTCCACACTAAATGGTTCTAAGAGACGTTTTTTAATCTCTTAGCAAAGAAGAGATCTCCACTTAAGTATCATACTTAAAGGGAAAATGTGCTTTATGCAATGTTACAGTTATATAAAGCTTGAAGCATCAAAATCGGTACTTGGTAATGGCCGATCAGCATGACAAGGAATCGGTACTCTGCATTGGCTCCGAAAATCCTGATGGGAGGATACCTTATATCTGTACTGCTTTTGAAATATGGGGCAAAGACAAAAAGAATTTAAAAACTAAATGTCTTGGCATATTATGAACATGAATCATTTACCATTAATGACATTAAAATCTTACTGTGCAGCGTTAAAATATTGGTGAAGTGTCATATTAAATCTTATACTTTCCCAATTCCCAGTATGCCCATTTGTCAGCAGGGCCTTTTAAAATGTTATATAATTTACTATGATTAGGTATTTTATGCACTTTAATAAGTACAGGTCATAATATGTGTATTGCTTCATTTTTTACAGAAATACATCTGTTAAGCTGAATAACAATTGGTATTTTGCACATTATCAATATTTATAACATTTTGTTTTTTACAAAAGCTATCTGAACTATGAAATAGACATTATACTTTCAATTTAACATATTTATAGTGTTATTAGCAAGTTATACTCTAAAATATGATGACAACATATGTTTTTGTCATTCTTTGAAATGCAGTTGTGTGATATAATTCTCTATTTTCTTTTTGTAAATGTATAAACAATTCTGAAAGAGTAGAGCTTAGTGTATGTTAACTTACGTATGACTACATGTGTGAACACGTCCAAATAGAAGTAATTTTTTTTTCATTCACATATTGGTTTGTTTTTAAAGTGAAAACTTGTGACACTGTCCCTGTATTTTTTACCACGCTACTTTGAAAGGTATGACTTAAACAACATTAGCACTATTTAATTGACTGAAAACATGTTTGTACTTTAATAATAATTAGCTGCTAATATGATTTCCCTATTTAGAATTAGCAAATAATATGTTTTACGAAATTTGATTATCAAAAAGAATGTCCGAATGCGTTTTTAACTTTTTTCCAAGTCAGTCTTTCAGATGCCATAAACCCTCAGTTGTTTTATTTATTATTTAATGCACTTTAATAAGTACAGATCATAATATGTGTATTGCTTTAGTTTTACAAAAATATATCCGTTAAGCTGATTAAAATAATTGGAATTTTTCACTTCATCAATATTTATGACATTTTGTTTTCACAAAAGCTATCTGAATCATCGAAGTAGACCATTTACATTCAATTTAATATATTTATGGTGTTATAAACAAGTTATACTCTACAAACCTGACGACAACATATGTTTTTTGTAATTCTTTGAAATGCCATTGTGTGATATAATACTCTATTCTCATACTATAAATGTATAAACAAATCTGAAAGAGTAGAGCTAGTGTATGTTACGTATGACAGCATGTAAACACGTCCGATTTGAAGTAGTTTGTTTTATGTTCGCAAATTCGTTAATTTTTTAAAGTGACAACATGTGACACTGTGCCTGTATTGTTTACCACGCTACTTTAAAATATTCAGTCTGAAATCGCATGTAGGTATGACTTCAAAACAGCATTAGCATTATTTAATTGACTGTGAACATTGTTGTACTAGGCTGCTAACATGATTTTCCCCATTTAAAATTAGCAAAAACTATTTTTCTGAAATGATATCATTAAACATAAAGTTCGAATGTGCCAATATAAAACCAGCTTTACCTGAATCACGTCCGATTACTGTAACGTTACCTTGATTTAGCAACTAATGCAGGACTGACACATGTAAAAATACAGCCGCACCTCATCCAGCCTGATGAACCTGACAAACGAGTCTCGAGCATCGCGTACCCTTAACCATGTGTAACACTCCTTTTAAACCATGTAACACAGACACTACGACTCAATTATATGATCAGTCCATTACGAAGCTCCATTTAGTGCGCATACAAGTCATAACTTTATCATACTTCAAACATTTGAGCTGTCTGTTGACTTACAGCGAGAAACAGTGCGGTATGTTCGCATAGCACATATGCTAACTTATAACATCACAACCCCTCTGTCTGCATTGTTTGGCTAAAAAAGTCGCTGTTGGTATTGAATAAATCCATCCAGAATGTGCAGTGTCATGTGCAGCTAGCAGAAACTTGCTCCCGGTAATAAGCTTATGTACGTTACTCACCGTGCGTAAGGAGTCTGCAAGCAATTCTGAGGCGTGTAGACGGACGTTTTAATTTCAGCTGAGTGAATTCCCTCCTAACTGAAGGCCATCTCCTCCTCGGTGATGGTTTATTGGCTATATAGCAGCATAATGATACAGGCTCTGTAGTTCCAGCCTCTTTGACAGCAGCATCACGGTGGTGTGATGCGAGGAGGGGGGGTTACTTCTGGACGTCGTCCTTTGACCTCAGCGATGCAACCACTCACGCTGCTTCAGTGGACCAATCGGATTGCGCGATACGGCTGAGGCGTGGTCACGCACACAAATAAATCGGAAGGAGCGCCCAATGAATTGTCACTTCGTTAGACGCACGTGTTTTCTGTCAAAGAGAGGTCTGAGCTATTGTTGATGCAGTTAAACAAACCAATATGAAGTTAAACGATTTTATTGAGAGTTAACTACTAAAGTTAGTCAAAACAAATCTTAAAGTTTGGCTTCATAAAGCTTTGTGTGAACGTTGGAAATAATCATAAAGTCTAACATATTTTAGGTCTAATTAATTTTTTTTGTTGAAAGTTGTGTTCGCTTGTGTTTTTTCCAAGTCAGTCGCTTAATTGGCTTTCAGTCCTTTAAATGCCATAAACCATCAGTTCTGTCTATATTGTTTCTTGTCTAAAGGTTGGATTGTCTCCCTCAGAAGAAATTTGTTTTAGAAGAAGAGGTCTGCTGTACACAAACACACACAGACAACCTAAAACATTAGAAAGAAATACGTCCTAATATAAATACAATACATTTACATTTTTACATTTTACATTTTAGTCATTTAGCAGACACTTTTATCCAAAGCGACTTACAAATGAGGACAAGGAAGCAATTTACACAACTAAGAGCAACAATGAATAAGTGCTATAGGCAAGTTTCAGGTCTGTAAAGTCTAAGAAGGAAAGTATTAGTAGTATTAGTATTTTATTTATTTATTTATTTTTATTTTTATTTATTTTTTTTGGGGGGGGGGGGGGGGGGGTACAGTTAGTGTGATATTCAGAGAGGCAATTGCAGATTAGGAAGTGAAGTGGAGACTAAATAGTTGAGTTTTTAGTCGTTTTACATTTTACATTTTAGTCATTTAGCAGACGCTTTTATTCAAAGTGACTTACAAATGAGGACTTACAATACACGACTTACAATACATTACATGCACACCATCAACTATTTTACTAACTGATGCAGTTATCTTATTCTATTAACTGTTGTTGTAATTGACGTTTGTTAATTGCTCATTAATCAAGTTAACTGAAAAAAAGAAAAGAAAAGAAATTTATAGTTGTATCTGTTATGCCTGCATAATTGGTCTGTATCTTCAGAAACGACACGTGAAAAATCAGATAAAATCTTGAAGTACTCGACAGACAACTCAAAAGTATCTTATCATAGGCCAAGTGTCTGAATGACCATTATTCTCCTGCCACTTTTTTAAAGTTATTTATATATAAAAAAAAAAATAGAAATAGTTATTCATAAAGACAGAATATCACAAATATTTTGATTGTTGTATATACGTTCCTTATTGACTATGTCCTTACTTTTAATATTGTAGCCTTGTTAAACTCCCTCTATGTTAAAAGCAAAAAATAAAATTTTAAGGTTGGAGTAAAATGATTGGTGAGAGACAAACACCTTTTACTCATTGATTTCTAGCCAAGACAAAAAGAAAAACCTCCAATATTGTGGAAGACAAGAGTCTTGCTGTACATGGTTCCTTCTGTACTTCTGTCTGGTAGATGGTACGTATAAAGTCCCTTTTAGCAAAAAAGACTGAGTACAAGAAGACATTTATTCCCACTGCCATTGTTTTTCTTTCTGGGAATTTTTAAATAGGATTTTTTAAAATAATTGTGTAAGTGTATTTATGTTTTTGTTGTTGTGTGTGAGCCTAAAGACAATTTTCTAAGCCCTGTGATAGACAATTAAGTTTATTGAATTTAATTAAAAATTTTAAATGACCATTGTGTATATTCTCATCAAAAAGTTATTTATTTTAATAAAATTTGTATTTACTTGACTGTTTTTCATTTAACCAAATTTGTGATCAGTTTTTGGTCAATTTATCTGAAATCTCCTAATCATATTTTCTTTTTGAAATTATTATAATGGTTCAATCATTTTATTTTAAGTTTCATTTATTATTTATATTAAATTGTTTATTTTACTTATTTGAATATTTTATTTTGATTAATTATACTTTAGCACTCAGATGCAAACAATGTAGATATTCTTAAGACAAACTGCTGAAGTTTAATTAAAAAGGGGGGTTGGCAAATTGACTTTTTACAAATTGTTTTACATGTGTGAAAATAGCCAGAGTTAACAAAGAAAGATCAGAAAATCACAGAGGTCAGAGGAGGTACTCAGATTTAAATAATAAATTTTAATAGCCAGAGAAAAGCATCTCTGAACACAGAAGACATAGAAAATGATTGTCTAGTCTGAAGAGTTTAAATTTCTGCTGCAACATTTGGAGGGTAGGCTAAGATTTGATGTAAAAAAAAAAAAAACGTGTAGGTTGTTAAAAGGATGTCATCAATAGGGCATCAACAACCTCTTTTTAACGTCTAAAAATCTATGTGAAGATCGTATGTGAAGAATACTGTCAATAAGGCAAAATAAGCATTTGTAAATAAAAATAGTGTTTTTTTTCTGATAAAATCTACAATCTTGCTCATAGACAAGTCAATTCTTTAAGTTTAAAAAATAGTTTGTTGTGCAGCTTTTCTTATGTTATTATATTATTCTACTTTTAATCCATTTCATTCCACTTTTTTTTGTGAAAAGGTGGGGCTTAGTAAATAATGTCAGAATTTTCAGCATTAGGTGAGCTGTCCCATGAGGTATACAGCTATGTAAGAAATGCACTATATGCAGTTGAAGTCAGAATTATTAGCCTCCCAGTATATTTTATTCCCCATTTTCTGTTTTACTGAAAGTTTTTTTTTCAACACATTTCAAAACATTATAGTTTTAATTACTAATTTCTAATAACTGATTTCTTTCATCTTTGCCATGATGACATAATATCTTAAAGTGACATTTAAAGGCTTAACTAGTTTATGCTAAATGGGAAAGTTAGGGTAATTAGGCAAGTCATTGTATATATTGATGGGTTGTTCTATAGACAATTGAAAAAACTAAAATATATAGCTTAAAGGGGTTAATAATTAACCCTGAAACCTTAAAAATGTTAAATATTTTATTTTTCAAATTTATTATTATTTGATATATATTTATATTTGAATATTTGAATTACTTTTTTCAAAAATTAATTGCTGAATTAAAATGATTGTAGTCTCATTGAATCCCGCATACAATGAGAGAATGCTGAAACAGACAGAAAGGACGATGGCAGAGCCTTACATTTCTGCGATGGAAATATTCTCATTATATTGCACACGTGGGAGCAAAGGACAAGAGGATTATCTGCATAGACAGTGATTTTACTTTTTAATAAAACAAAAAGTACAAAAGTAGCAAACGCTTTACTTTAAACTATCATTAATCTGTATATGTGGCATGTAGAACTCTGGGGTCAGGAAGTTCTCATAAGATAACATTATCCTGTATTATTATTATTCATTGTTTTGTGTGTTTTTGAAAGGGAAAGGACAATTATACAGTGCATTGTTAATAGCGCCCATATTAAAAAATGAAGAAAAAAACTCAGCAAGTTTTAAAGGAGATCAAGCCTATAAGGCAGGTATGGAATAGTTAAACATTACACATTACTTACCTTATGTAACGCAACTAACTTGTTTGAGGAGTAACTCATTGTAATGCATTACTTTCAAAAGATATTTACCCCCACAGTGGTGAAGATGTCATGTGCTAAAACACACGCATACTACTGCTTAAGATATCTATTGTTGTTCAAAAGACAAAAAAGTCATACTTTTATGTATGTCATATTAGTTTTAGGAAAAAAGTAATCCGTGTTTGCACAATAAAATGATCCGTCAACGCAACATATCAAATCCCTGATACTGACACTCTTTGTTGTACTTTAGAACATTTGTCTGATTTGTAAGCAAATTTGAAGATTTGATCAGAGTATTTCAAAAGGCCTAACCTTGACTGCAGTCGAGACAGGAGCATGATCCAGGTATTGGGTAATTCATTTGATTGAAAGTCATGATGTATCTGTTTACATTTTGCAACATCATACATTTGAGTCAGAATCTGAATTCATGCAATTTGACTAATAATTTACACTGCTGCATGTGACCCTGGAGCAAAGTTGTAGGTGTTAATCCTTTCAAAATTTAGATTTATTTTCTGAAACATCATCTAAACATACAGCTAAAGTCAGAATTATTAGTCCCCCAGATTTATTAGCCCTCATGTTTGCCCCCCCCCCTCCCCCCATTTCTGTTTAATGAAGAATTTTTTTAACACATTTGAAAACATATTAGTTTTAATAGCTCATTTCTAATAACTTATTTTAATTAAATAAGTATAAATTAAATTTATTTTCATTTTGCCATGATGACAGTATATTTGACAAGATATTTTCCAAGACGCTTCTATTCAGCTTAAAGTGACATTTATAGGTTTACCTATAGGTTAATTAGGTTACCTAGGCAGGTTTGAGTAATTAGGCAAATTATTGTATAATGATGTTTTTTTTTGTAGACTATCAGGAAAAAAATAGCTTAAAGGGGCTAATAATTTTGTCCTTAAAATGGTTTGTACTGCTTTTATCCTACAGCCAAAATAAAAAAAATAAGACTTTTTCCAGAAGAAAAAAATATTATCAGACATACTGTGAAAAATCCCTGGCTAAACATAATTTAGGAAATATTTAAAACAAAACAAAAAAATATATATAAATTCAAAGGGGGGCTAATTCTGACTTTAACTTTAAAATAAATAATCTTTCCATTGATTTATGGTTTGTAGGGCAATATATCTTGGTCGAGATATAACTATTTGAATTTCTGCAATCTAATATCTAAATATTGAGATTGCCTTTAAAGTTGTCCAAATTAAATTCTTAGCAATAATTCTTTATCATTTTCCTTTAGCTTAGTTCCTTTATTTATCAGGGGTCGCCACAACGGAATGAATCGCCAACTTATCCAGCATATATTTTACACTGCAAATGCCCTTCCAGCTGCAACCCAGTACTGGGAAACACCCATACACTCTCATATTCACACACTATAGCCAATTTA